GTGTCCATCTCAAAGCTTGGACTGATCACACAGTGATGGGAATCAGAGACATGCCTTCCCGGTAGGGGTGGTGTCTCCGTGACCGGAAGCTGGACTATTGCCTCCCCAAACCACTTTGAGGAGGAAAAAAACTGACCTTTCAAACCCCTCTCAGGCGAGGAACAAGCAGATGTGAGAGCTCCTGGCCACGCCCTCTAGGTAAGGGATCCAGCAGCCCATAGCTCCAGATTCTAGGTTAGTCCTGGCTCTCTCCTCTTGGTGGGTCTGAAGGTAGCTAAGTTTAACTAAGGAGTTCTTCAGGTCCCAGAGGGAGAGCTCTGGAGGCCCTTGTTGTGGGCTAGGAAGTGCCACCCATGCTAGTGTGTATATTTGCGATGGGGTCAGGGAGGGGGCTGAGTGTAGGCTCACAGGGGAGAGAGCATGCAGAGTGATAGGAATGCTCCAGCCACTAGCTCAGGCTTTTCGGATTCAAATCCATTTCTAGGGCCTTCTGATTGGGTGCTCTTGGACAGCTGTTCAGCTTCTGAACATCAGGTGGGCATCTGGTAGTGGGCACAATAACAATGCCTAAACTCAAAGGGCTGGAAGGAACGCAGAACTTCAAACAGTGGCTGGCTCCTGTCAGTGGACCAGAAGGCTCTCTACCTCAAGGAAGGGCTGTGCATTGTCTCTGGCAGTCTTTGACAGTGGCAAAGTGGGAGCCATGAAGAGGGGCTCTTGGCCTGGGAAGCATCTGTCATGATTCCTCCTGCCAGGGCATCGGCTGCAGAACACAAACCCAGATCCCTCTCCATTATAGGGACCTGGGACAATGCTCCTCCAGACAGGAATCCTCTCTGCTGGGTTGTGCAGTCGACTTTCCCTGCTTCAGGTCTCACTGAAAACCCAGATACCAAGAACATACTGTCCCTGTGACCTGTCCCTGAGGGCCCCGTATCCCTGAGGAGCTCAAAGTATTTCCCTCAGCATCAGCCTCTTACCCAGAAACCACTTCCCCACCTCCCCACCCCTACTAAAAAACAACTCGTGCGTGTGTGTGTGTGTGTGTGTGTGTGTGTGTGTGTGTGTGTGTAAAAACAACTCTGAACTGTCCCCAGGTTGTCTCCTCAGTCACTTGCCCCTGCACAGTAGGAATTAGGGTCACACAGCAAAGGGACAAAGGTGGACGCTTCCTGGACCAGCAGCACGCATCTCTCTCCACAGAGCTTAGCCTACTGTGTCACAGAGCTGTGTGGTGTGCTTCTGACCGCTCCGGGAAGACCAAGGCCCCTCTCTGCTTAACCCTGCTGCCACCGAGAAGCTTCCAAGAGGAGTGTGGCACTGGGACTGCCAGTGAGCTCCGGTCTCAAGGCCTTCTGAAGATGAACGCTGGGACCCTCCCAGAATCCAGGGTCTCTTCTTTACCCCGGTCCTCCAGTCCCTGAGGGATGGCCACCAAGGACTAAGCCTGGCTGCCTGGTTCCCTAATGTGCCTAACTGAGAGTAGCATCCTAAATCCCCAGCGCTTTCCTTGTTTTTAAGGGAAGCCAGTTCCTTTTAGTATGGGCCACTTCTGCAGGGGCGGCGGCTTTCATGAGTCTGTCCTCCCCCTCCCTCCTTCTCCTTCCCTTCTCCCTCCCTCCCTTCTTGCCTTATTCTTCACCCAGAAAATCCTTTCGTGCCCCCTCTAACCATGAACTGTGCCAGGGTGAAGGATGGAGACAGCCAGGTTTGGCTTCTGTCCCTGAGGCCTTGCAGTGGGATGAAGGAGGCAGCTGCTTAGTGGTCACAGGACCTTGAGGGTCAGTTCCCTGGTAATGACAGTGCCTCGGCTGGGACCCAGTCAAGCCTGTCTCTGGGTCTCCGTCAGGCAGGATGTACTCAGCCTCTATGTGTGTCTTCCCACCACACCCAGCAGGGAGCGTGGCTGTGTGCAGCAGAAGGACCCTCGGCTAGTTAAAGAGCGCAGGATCAGACTGGAAGGCCTTGGCTTCCCCAGAGCTCCCTGGGACGGGGAAGGGCGGGCACTCAGTGGCACAGGCTCTGTAGCAGGAACAGATCTCCAAGGCCAGGACCAGAAGGGGGGCTCTCAAGGATCCAATGGCACATGTCAGAGTGAGCTGGCCCTGAGCAGTGACATGTGTCCATTCCTGGTCAAGGGAGGACAGGGCACCTTGACAATGCACGAAGATGGCTTGCGGGGGAGGGGGGCTGCTCCCCCAAACACTTGGGAGTTACCTAAGCACAGAGCTTAAGTTCTTGGAACTGCCTGGCTACTGAGGGAATGTGGAAACTGGCTAAGCCATCCCCTGGGGCCTGTCCTGGGCCCCAGCTCCCCAGCACCCTAGCACCCTGGCTTCTAATTTTGTACCATCTGGAACCCAGTTAATGTCTCTGTTCAACCTGGAAACATTTTCTTAACGACAAAATAAATCAAATCATAGGTTAAAAATCTCTTGAGCAGAGAAGCAGCAGATGACGTTGTGTGGGCACTTGCCCAGAGGACACAGTACTTGCATCTCCTGAGTGGGTGGCCTTATAAGGGCAGGTTTAGGAGGAGAGTGGGCAGGAGGGAGGGCCACCAGCAGTGGCAGGAGCCTTGGAGGCTGGGGTGGGTGCCCCAACTGGGCAGGGTATGGAACCAGCAGGCATTCTTGGCCAGGGCCCAGTTCTGTCGGGGGAGCTGGCCCAGTGAAGCCCCAGCAATCCCTGCTGGGCCCCTTCATTGCTGCCATTATCAGCCCGGGCTATGACCCATGTCATGCCTGCCCCCACAAGCCAGCCCAACTCTGGCAGCTCACTGAAGGACAGAGACCATTTCCTGCTTTTTCATCTGCTTTCTCCCTGACCTGTGCCCGGCTGGTATGCTAGGCAATAAAGATACGTATGGTGGGAGAATTGGTGAATGTATTAAAAAAATAAAAGCAAGCAAGTAAACAAACAACCAAACCCAGGGTCTCATATAGCCTAGGCTGGCCTCAAACTCTAGATGTAACTAAGAATGAATGACCTTGAACTTCTGATTCTCTTGCCTTTACCTCCTAAGTGCTGGCATTGCCAGTGTAAAACCCCACTCCTGGTTTATGTGGTGCTGGAGTTTGGATCCAAGGTCTTGTGCATGCTAGGTGAGCATTCAACCAACCGAGCCACACCCTAGCCATATCCCCAGAACCAAATTGGTTGCTCTTTGGTGGCAGTTTTGGCACATGACCTGTGCAGCAGCTCCTGGAACACAAGGCGGAGCCCCCCCCCTCCCCAGGCACCAATGCAGAGCTGAGGAGAAGCAACATGGGGCGCCTGGGGTGGGGCTGCTGGTGAGAAGAGCTGAGGCAGCAGTGTTTTGCCTTGCACAGGCCACCCTTGTCCCCAGAGTGAAAGCACATGTACCCCAAACTTCCTTCAGGTAGTGCCTCTAGCAGGATTTCATTTCCCGAGGTGAGAGGGAGGAAGATGTAGAGGGAGAGAGGAGGAGGAAAGAGGAAGAGGGGGTGGGACACACACACACACCCACCCACCCACACACACACACACACACACACACACACACACACACACACTCACACACTGGGTGTCGGGGGAGAGATTGAGAGACTATGCTGAGAGATTCCTGGGTGCCTGTGCTCCTGTGACATCCGCATACATAAGAGCAAAGGTCTGGCCCCTGGGGTCTGAAGGAGAGGTGAGTGCGCCAGAGTTACCTGCACTGAGGGTGAAGCTCTGGGATCCTCCCTAGCCTTCATGAGGAAAGACTTCCCTGAGAGCCCTGAAGATCTTCCTTACGGTAGGTCTCAAGGTCAAGGGTGAAGAGCTGGGATATGCCCTTCCTTTGGCCAGCTTCCACTGTGCCGAAGACCCCACCATAGCCTAAGATAAGCAAAGAGTCCCGTGTCCTCTGTGGAGCCCAGCAAAGACTTCTCTGACAACAGGTAGACAGGACGACGGGCCGCGGGACAGACGTGGGCCTAGGGAGTGTGGAAGGAAAGGGCTGATAGAGGGGGAGAGTTCTGGAAGAGATCTGGGACCCCTGAGTTCTCCACTCCAACCAACTAAGATCTAGGGTGTGTCTCCCTCCACTGTCCCCTGCTCGGAAAGGTCAAGGCTGCGAGGAGGCGATGGCAGCACCTTGGCCAGCACTCCTCCAGAGACAGCTGCAGGAGGCGGGCTCACACTGACGCCAGAGCAGCAAGGCTCCTCCAGACGGAGCTGTGCCAGCGAGGTCCGGCCTTAGGAGGGCCTGGCCTACCTGCACATCAGCCAGTGGAACTAGGAACTCAGGGCCACACAGACATCTGCCTTGCTATCATTCCGTTCTGAAACAGGAATGTCCCCAGGTATAATATAAGCACAGATTGTTACCGTCAATCACAGATTACTGCCCCCATGAGGCAGGCTGGATAATGATCCTCCAAAGAGGTTCTCTCCTAACTCCTAGAACCTGTGAACTGCATTCCCATGTGAAAAGGGCTTTGCAGAGAGATTAGACTGGGTGCTGTGTCTCAGGCGGATCATCCTGGATTAGTCTGGTGGGCCCAGAGTAATCACCCGGGTGCTTCAGAGGAAGTGGCCAAGGGTGAGCTAAACAGAAGACATTCTGCACAGTTCCCTGGGGACACAATGAGCTTGAAAGCTCAGCCTGAAGTGGTTTCTAAGATAACTGTCCCATCAGACCAGGGGTCTTCCTTCTTCACCCCACTGGCATGTGTCTCTTGGGGACTTGGTGGGACCAGAAGAGAGGACAGCACCTGAGAGGACAAGAATGGCAAGAAGCAAGGCTGGATTTGGGGCAGGCTTGGCTTTGCCTGGGGCTTGGACTCCCCATCCTCTTGGCCTCCCCTGTAGGGGTCATCTTATCCAGAGCCCCACTTCAGGTGGCCTGTGTCTGTCATCTGCTGATATCTCAGGAGCCACCTGACCCTTCCTATTAGTTGTAGAGCCGCCATTTTCCCAGGTGGCCCTTCCGTCATCCTTCCTTCTGCCTACTTTCTTCAACTCTGCTGATCAGAGAGGTTGGGTCCCTGGGGGACTGCAGTGATATTTTATTTGTGCTCTAATAAATAAAGCTTATTTAGAGATCAGAGGAAAAAGCCAACCGCTATATTAAACATAGAAGTCAGGCAATGGTAGCACACGCCTTTAATTCTAGTATTCGGGAGGCAGAGATTCATCTGGATCTCTGTGAGTTCAAGGCCACACTGGGAATAGAGACAGGCATGGTGGCATACACCTTTAATCCTAGCACTATCCATGGAGGTCTGGAGGTTTGTACAGACAGACAGGAAGTGATAGAGCTGGGCAGAAAGAGGAAGTGAGATGGCAGGGCACAGAAAGGATATAGGTGTGGGTATAAAGGAAGTAGCTCTCTTTGCTGAGGATTTCTAGTGGTAAGAACGTGATGGCTTCTTTCTGCTTCCCTGATCTCTCAGTTTTTACCCAAATATATGGCTCCAGGGTTTTTTTTATTAATAAAACCGTTTAGCAATTTGTCTTTCAGGGGACAGATTTGCTCAGGTATTGAGTTTGGTTACAGAATTCAGCTGTGTTAGTTTTCTGTAGCTGGGAAAATGAGTGAGAAAACCAAGGACATTTCTGACTCACAGTTTCAGAGGTTCCAGATGATGGTCGCTCTGTTCTGTTGTTTGGGGCCTGTGGTGAGGCAGAGCTTCATGGTGGGAGTCCACGATAGAGCAAAGCTGCTCCCATAACAGTGGCCGAAAAGCGGAGAAGAGAGAAGGGGCCAGGGTCTCGGCAAGCACATGGTGTGACTTCCTTTTACCATTCCCCACCAGCACCATCAGCTGGGAACTAAGTCTGAAACTTTCGGGAACATGTAAGCAAATCATAACAGCTGGTGTTCGTTAAATGACAGAGAGATGAGCAGAGAAGGGTGGGGCTACAGGACAGGGAAAGGGAGGAAATATGTGAATGGGCTGGTAGATAGTGCCACAAGCATCCTATGCACTATCCCACTCAATCAGCATCATTGAAAAGTTTCAGTCTGTATTTTATGAATGAGAAACTGAGGCACAGGGAAGACGAACAACTTTCAAAAGTTCACACAGCTAGTTATCAATAAGACTGAACTTGTAGCCCTATCTGATTTCAGAGTCTATGTCTCAAACTCTATTTTTCCACCTTCTAAAACAATCTTTAAGGGGGTGTGGTTTGTGAGGCCCCACCCCTCCCTGAGGAGATAAACCATAGATCCTATAGGCAGTTAAAAGCTGTGAGGGAAGGAAAGACATTTTCTTCAGTAGTGTGGCTACTGGCAAATTTGCCCATGCTCCTGTAAACAACCCTAATTAAACTTACAAAGCCATATATATGAATGAAATTTTTTTTTTTTTTTTGGTTTTTTGAGACAGGGTTTCTCTGTGTAGCTTTGTGCCTTTTCCTGGAACTCACTTGGTAGCCCAGGCTGGCCTTGAACTCACAGAGATCCGCCTGGCTCTGCCTCCCAAGTGCTGGGACTAAAGGTGTGAGCCACCACCGCCCGGCTATGAATGAAATTTTAAAAAACAACTAAACAATATTTATTGCAAACTACCAATGTTTCTGTTGTTTCATTTGTAATCAATAGTTTCCCAGGGATGGAAATGGAAGGGTTGCTCGCACTAGGAAAGAATAGGAGTGGTGAGTGACTTGTGGGTCTGCCAGCTGGTCACTTCTAGTTCAATGGACTTAATAAAAGGGGCCTTCTGAGCCAGATTAGCTTAAGTGGAACAAGCCTCAGGTCCCTCACAGCCTGTCAGCATTCAGACTTAATTTTACTCTTTTCCAAGTCAGTTTAATTTTCAACAACAGACTCATGACCAACTTCATGCTCTCTGGCCCATTTTCCCAAATACTCCTCTGTGCACTGCCTTCAACCTACTCAAAGCAAGTTAGAAGGCCAAGGAGTGTTTTCAACGTGACTTCAAGCTGGCTGGCACTGAGACTAGTGGAAAGCACAAGGGAGTTGGTGGGCCTCTGGAGAGCTGGGTAACAGTCCCGAGCTTGCTGTTTCAGCTGCAGAAGTCCCCAATACACAACTGAGCAAGGAGTGGAGTGCTCTGGGCACTGTCCCTGGGCTTTCCACAGGCTCCGGCTCCATCTCCGTTTCTAGAGCCAAGAGAATGAAAGGTCCGAATCCTGGTAACTGTTAGAGGACTTCAGGTGGGCTGCTGTCAGAGGCAAGGGCACCAGTGCTTTGGCCTTTGACCTCTTGCCTGAGTCACAGGCCACTCCAGCAACTGGCCCTCTCAATCCCTAGAGGCCTCTTAAATATAGGCTTGGGGTGGCTAGAGACAACTGTTGTCCCAACCCCGCCCCCCAAAGATAACAGGCTGGTATAGGACCCAGATTATCAGAGCAGAAAGGGGCACAGATTGGTGGTCTAGGGGGTCAGGCACGGGGGTCATGGGCCTGCTGCATTGCAAAGGCCTCCAGAGAGCCTCAGATATAAAACAAGGTTGGACAACTACCTGGGAGACTGAGGTCACAGGAGGATCACTTGAGCTCACAAGTTCAAGACCAACCAGGTAACATAGATACCTCACGCAAAAACAAAACAATGTAATTCTAACCAACCAACAACAAAACCCCAAATTCCTGGAGGCCTGGCCATCTGTGCTTTCTGAATCAGAATATAAGGTGCAGGACCCAGGGATTCCCTAAGAACTCTCATGGAAGAGGAGCCAGGTCTGGAAAATGTAGACCTAGTCAGATTCCTCTGTTTTATTATGTTTGAGATAGGGTCTTGCTATGTAGCTCAGGCTGTCCTGGAACTTGCTATGCAGACCAGGCTGGCCTCAAACTCACAGAGATCTGCCTGCCTCTGCCTCCTGAGGGCTGGGATTAAAGGCATGCGTCACCATAGGAACTCGGGTCAGTTTTATATTTTTCCTTAGGAATTCGAAGCTGGGAGAGTAAGAACTCGGGGTGTGTCCGGAGAAGTGTCTCAGCAGTCAGGAGCTTTAGAGCACGTGCTGCTCCTGTAAAGGACTGGAGTTTGGTCCCCAGCACCTACATCAGGTGACTTACAACCACCTATAACTCCAGCCCCAGGGGATCTGATGCCCTCTTCTAGCTTCTGTGGGTACCTGCATATATGTGCATACGTGCATGTGTGTGCGCACCCATATACACACACACATAAAATAAATACATTAAAAAGAACTCAGGGTGTCTGATATATATTAAGGGTTTCCCACACCACGGTCCCAAACATGCAGGGTTCAAGATAATTCCTGTCATTTACTTAATTGTCTCAAAACCAATGCACATAGTTTAAAGAGTTAAATACAGAATGCTTTCCAAGGCTTGCCCGAAAAACAGTTCCTCTCTACCTGCTGCTTCTAGCAATGGCTGTTCAGCAACGACTCCCACCCATGACATTCTCTGTGCTTCACAGTAAGCATGCCCTGCTTTCTTAGGTAATTTTTTATTTTTAATTTCATAATTGTTTTTCTAGATGAGGTTTCTCTGTGTAGTCCTGGCTGTCCTGGAACTCTGTAGACCAGGCTGGCCTCAAGTTCAAGAATCCATCTTCTCTGCATCCTGAGTGCTGGGATTAAAGGCTTGAGACACCACACCTGGCTTTAGTCTTATTGGTTTGGTTTTGTTTTGGATTGGTCCCCCACCTCCCCCAAACAGGTTTCACTGTGTGTGGTGGTTTGAATGTAATTGGCCCTCATAAGCTCATAGGGAGTGGCACTATTAGGAGGTGTGGCTTTGTTGGAGTAGATGTGGCTTTGTTGAGGAAGTGTGTCACTGTGGGGTTGGGCTTTGAGGTCTCATATGTGCTCAAGCCACACTCAGTGTCTGAGACCACTTCCTGTGGCCTGTGTATTAAGATGTAGCTCCTTCCCCTCTCTCAGCTCCTTCTCCAGCACCAAGTCTGCCTGCATGCTGCCATGTCTCACACTGATGATAATGGACTAAACCTCTGAAACCGTAAGCCACCCAATGAAATGTTTTCCTTCGTAAGAGTTGTTGTGGTCATGGTGTCTCTTCACAGCAATAGAAACCCTAAGACAGTATCTAACAGCCTTGGAGGTCCTGGAACTCACTCTGTAGACCAGGCTGGCCTTGAACTCAGAGATCCGCCTGCCTCTGCCTCCCAAGGGCTTGAATTAAAGGTGTGTGCACTACCACCACCAGGCTTGTCTTATTAGGTTTTAATAATGCAGTTAGGATGGGTGGTGGGTCTGGTACTTCACTGGTCAGCCATGTGTCACAGAGTATCCTGGCTTGTCACTGGGCACAGGCGACCAGCTCCTCCAGGGCTTGCTCCCGCCGATTGCCGTGGACCAGCAGCACCTCCTTGATCCGGTCTGGCTGGAAGCCCATGTCACTGAACTGCTGCCACAGGCGCAGGAACTCCCCCGCCTGAAGAGGAGGGAGACAGGGAACTCCATCACTGCAAGGCTGCCTCAGTCCTGGGTATCCCCCTCACTGGTGCCCGCTGCACCTCAAACCATCCCAGAAAGCCATGGTCCCTTCACCAGGGAAGCCTGACCCTGGGCTGTGCCTGTCATTTTTCTCTTCCTCTGGGGACGCGAGCTCTATGCTTTCTTCCTCTACCAAGGAAAGAAGGCGCCATCTTTCTGAGGCCCCCTCATCTGGCTCTGATTCCCTGTGATTGGTACTAGGGCAGGATGAGGGTCTGCACAGCCCTGTGAATTGCTGCCCTGTTACTGAGGCAGGAGCTATCATGGGCACTTGTTTCTTTCTGTAGGGCCTGCAGCTCCCTGCCATGTTGGGAGGGCACAAATTCCCTGAGTTCAAGTCTTCCGTCTGCTCCTGTACGGGAGTCTCAAAAACACCAGGAATCCAATAAATGTGGTGTGTTGGTTCGGTTACCGACAGAAAAGCCCCCACTACACCAGCCTCCTGCCCTCTCCACCTCTTCATTCTCTGTTTCCCACCGTGGGCTGTACTGCACTCTCTGGTCGGTACTTTCTCCCCCGTGTGAACAGGCCACTTCTCTGCTGCAGCTCCACAGCCTGCTCTGGGGCCACCGCACCCCTGCACTCCATGCTTCCACTTCCTGGGGCCCAAGCAGGAGACCCAGCTGACCTGGTGCTCGGAGAACTGGAACATCTCCATGGCCTCATCCACCAGGGCCTCGTCATAGCCCTGCCGCAGCAGCCTCTCACAGGCACTGAGGTAGCCAAGGAACTGGGCCAAAGAGGGTGGAGGGGGAAAGGCAGTAAGAGGAGTGGCAGGGCATGCTGGGGAGTCACCCCAGGCTTTCCCCAAGGCCATGCAGACTGGACAACCTATCACAGTAACAGCCAACAGAAGAGGGACAGGCTTCCTTTGAGAACCCACAGAGGGACAACAGGTGGGGGGCTAGAATCCAAGAAAAGGGCTGTTCAAATGTTCCTTGAGCCTCAGTGGGGTGCAGGACAAACTCTGAACAAGTAAGTCAACCCCACCACAGCCACCCGACCCACCACCCTCCTCAGAGGAGCACCCAAATGTAAAAGGAGCCTCCTCACCCTCCCATCTCTCTGCACCCCTCCCCACCCCCAGACACACCTGTCACCTAGGATGAATAGAATTCCCACCAGGCAACAGGCTGCACCAGAGCTGGGGGAGGGGACGTGGCAGAGGAAGTTCTCCACCCACCCACCCCTGGCCCCATTAAGTCATCAGAGGCTTGTTTTGTCTTCAGGGTAAACAGCTGCACCAGAGGATCCTTAGCTCACGAGGCTGGCCTGGCTACATAGCTTGAGGCTAGCCGGGAACATAGAAAGACCTGTCGTCTCAAAAAACAACGAAAACCATGGAAGAGGCTCCATCCCCAGCACCAGATAACTAGGCACTGGGCGCGATGGTGTACTGGGGAAGTGCAAGCAGGAGAATCAGAAGTTCAAGGTCAAGGCTGAGGAGATGGCCCCGTGGGTAAGAAAGTTGCTTCCTAAATGTGAGGAGCTGAGTTCAAGTGCCCAGCACCCACACAAAACCCTGGACATCGCCACATGCCAGCCTGTAACCTCAGCACTATGGGAGGCAGAAGCGAAACTCCGGCGCCAGCTGCCTGCCAGCCTAGCTGTGGGTTCAGCAAGAGGTCTTGTCTCAAGGGAATAAAGCAGAAAAGGACAGACCAGGCTATTTTCTGTGGTCTCTCATGCGCTCATGAGTGTCTGCACCTGCATACACATGTGCACAAACACTACACCACGTGCACCCATGCACACGTGTGCACACACACACCACACACACTAATAATATAAGTTAAAGATCATCCTCAGCTACACAGTGAGTTCGAGGCCAGCCTAGCTACATAACACCCTGTCTCCAAAACAAACGTGCTCCCTCTTCACTGTTCTCTATCCTGCTCCCAGACTCAGCTTCCTCCTTTTCTCCAGGCCTCTGTCCAGCTCCCCATCCAAGACCAGCCTCAGTATCCTCCCAGGAGGCCTCTCTGCCGACTCTGTCTTCACTGGGCCATCCTCGGGGCTCTGAGGCCCCACCCACCCAGTGCAGTGCACACCGCTTCACTTTACATGTGTGTCCACTCACTAGTCCGTCACCACTGCATCCCCACAGCAGCGGAGGCAAAGTAGCCCAATAAACACATGCCACGTTCATAAAACCAATTAATAACTACCTTCAAGGAACTCGCAGCTTAGCAGAGGAGATAAACCAGACATGGGGGACTATGCCAGTGCTGGGCAAATCAAAGCAGGATTTATAGGGGACAGGTGCCAGATGAAAGCTCTAGGCTGTGAGAACCACGTGTATCGCTGGGAAGGATTAGGTCAAGTTTCTGTTGACCTTCAGAGCTGGCAGGAGCACAGATCGTCCAGCTCTGTGGTTTTCAAACTCTCGGAGCTCTTGGTCTGTTTGTCCCAGCACAGAGAGCTTCAACAAGCAGCAGCAGAGAGCAGGCTGCCTGCAGCTGGAGGTCTATGGATGCAGGAGCACCGAGTGTGGTGCTCCCGGGGGAGGAGCTACCACAGGACACATAGCCTGGCTCTGAGCACATTTTGAAAGTCATTCACCCCACCCCCTTCCACCGCTGAGGAAATGGAGGCCCTGGCAGAGCTGATGGTTTCCCAGAATGAGGCTCCATATCACCTGACCTCTCAGGGTCTCTTGATCACTCTGATCAGCTGAAGTGGGCTGCAGGAATGGCAGGAGGGGCTCTGAGCTGACGTGGACAGTGGACAGGCACATTGGGAGGGGGTATGGGCGAAGGCAGTGGCATTCAGTACCACCTCCCATCCCTGCTCACAGTCCTTCCATACTTCCCAGTTGTCTATTGGGTCATTTACCAACGTTTTTGATCTAGGCATCAAGGTACCCTCAACTGGCCCCCAGTTTCCTTTCTTAAGTCCCAGGAGCCTGTCTCTCATACCTCCCACAGCTAGACTGGTTAGGTAGCATCCCAAAGATACTGTCCCTGTCACGGCAGCTCTTCTCATCTCTTCTAGCCTCGAAGTCCACCTCAGTGTGCGGAACTCCCACAACACCTCTCCTGAGCACCCGAACCTTGTTGTGGTAGGTTGACAGTGAATAGGATTTCTCTGTAGTCCCTCCAGTCAAGAGGTAGAGTCTATTTCTCCACCCTTCAGATCTGGACTGGTCTTGGACACACTTTGACCAACAGAAGAGGTGGAAGGGACCACACACAACCTGAAGGCTAGGCTCAGGTGACCTGGAAGAGGTGGAAGGGACCACACACAACCTGAAGGCTAGGCTCAGGTGACCTGGAAGAGGTGGAGGGGACCACACACAACCTGAAGGCTAGGCTCAGGTGACCTGGAAGCATTTGCTCTTACACTCTTGGAACCAACCGAGCTAGTTTTCTGAAGAAATGTGGCCTCGTGGGCAAGTATCACCAATCACTGGACTGAGGCAGCCACCCTAGCTGAAGCAGCAAATATCACTTAGAAGTAAGAGACTCTCTAAAAAGATGTGATAGTATTTGAGGAAGACACCTGAGGCTCACCTATGGCCTTCACACATATTTGCACACACACACACACACACACACACACACACATACACCCCAGCACACATATGAGCAAATACACTCATACAGTAGATATTGTCAGTAGAGATTGTCCTATTGGACAGTTCTAGAGAGGTTCTTGGTTGTCTAAAGCTCCAGTCTCCTGTATTTGGGGCATAGACTATGATAGGGTTTGAATATGGAGATCCCCCAAACGGCCATGGGGATTCCTGCTGAAGTCCTGTGGAGGGGAGGCAGTAAGGCCTAGAAATTCGATCACAAACTTGGTAATTTGTGCCAAGTTGAGGTTCTGTCTCTAAAGAGATGGAAGCAAGGGCTGGAGCTCCAGACCAATGATAGAGAGATTGCCTACTATGTACAAGGCCCGTGGATCCCCAGCACTGCAAGAGAGGAGACGGGAGAGGGAGAGAGAGGGAGCAATTGGCAGCCCCTCAGCCCTGGGCCCACTCACCTGGCTCAGGCTCTGCCTTCCTGTCTTCTGCAGAGCCACAATGGCCCTTCCCAGGGGATAGCCCAAAGCAACCACTGGCCCGATGAGGTCTTGCTCTTCTTTGGTCAGAGCAGACAGCAGGTCAGTTGCTGAATCAGAATGCAATCTATAGGAGTCGAGGGGCTGGGGTGTCCCACTAAGAGGTGGCAAGCAGGTGTATGGGCTGAGGGACTGAAACACAGACAAGATAACATGTCAGTAACCAAAGGAGGTCACAGTCAGCTGGGCTGGACATCTTAAGGGCTGACTTCGTGTCCCAATTTATGCACATTGTGGAGAGCTGTAGGTCCTGTGGGCCCAAACTCACTTTCTATTCACTTTGCCGAGATGTCAACAGAGACCATCTTGGAACTACCTCATCAGGCTGTTAGGAGATATAAATCAGAGCCTGAGCAAAGTGACTAATTAGCAAAGGGCCTGGTATGCAGAAGCTGTCAGCAAAGGCTAATGTTTCACTTAGCGCTTACAACACTGTAAATGAAATATGATAGGTAGCCTAGGTGTGGTGATATATGCCTGTATTCATAGCTACTTGGGAGCTGAGGCAGGAGGATTGCTTGATTGCCCAGGAATTCAAGGTGAGCCTGGGCATCATAGTACAAGGTCAGGTCAGGGAGAAATAACAAGAGACAGACAGACAAGGTATATAGCTCAGTTAGTAGTATGTTTGTCTGGAACGCACAAGGTCCTGGGTTCAGTCCTTAGCATCTCATACACAGAGTATGGTGGTGTACGCCTGTAATGTCAGATGCAAGAAGATAAAAAGTTCAAGGTTGTCCTCAGCTACCATCAAAGCAAGTTCGAGGTCAACCTGGGCTACATGAGATTCTGTTTCAGAGAGAGAGAGAGAATCATCCAGGTTCAGAGAAGTCAGTGACCCAATGCACAGTACACATTTGAGATATGAACCCTACCTTGAGGTTGCTGTACCCCACAACTCAGTGAGAGGGAACATCTTCCCAGCCATACTCTCCTGGAGTTTGGCTGAGCCAGGCCCAGCAGGACGGTACTCAAGCATATTGACTCAGGTGAATGCTGCACTACAGAAGACATTCGCTTGAGGACATTCCTGGGTTTGGCTGGCATCATGAGGAAGGACTTCCCAGCTAGGAATCAAACTATCAAGGCATTGGTGGCACACCATCGGACTTCTCCCCTCCCCTGAGGGAAAACCAGGTGCTGCCTTGCTTCTGGGGCCTTGGTTAATACATGGGACATATGAATTCCTCACCTGTCACCACTTTTTCAGGATTCTCTGCTATGACTCCTCCTTTTACCCTAAGTTGAGGAGCATCCAGATTTGAGCAGTGGTATTATCTTTGAAAAAGACTCTAAATAAATAAATAGATAGATAGATAGATAGATAGATAGATAGATAAAAAGACTCTTAGCTACTGTCTGCCTCAGTTTCCTTAAGCCTCTTCCTCCTGCCCCAGCTGGCCCCAACTAGGGTTGTTGCTAAAGTTGAATTTTTAGACAACAGCTTGTTTAATAACTATGTAGCACAGAGTAGCCTTAAAGCAGTTATGTAGCCAAAATTGGTCTCACACTGGCAATCCTCCTGCTTCAGTCTCCTGAGTTGCTGAGACTACAAGTGTGTACCACCATGCTCTGCTAATGACAGCCAAGAGCTTTTCCGGCATCAACATCTGGAAGCTGCCCAGCTCCCCAAGCCCCTCCTGTCACGCTGATCCGCTTTATAAGTAGAGAGGGTAGCCCAGAGTGGCCCAGCAACCCAGCCAGACTTCTGGACTCTGTCTTTTGGATTCAATTTCTCCTTGGCCTTATTCTGTAGCACCTCGGTGTCTGACTGGGACAGAACGCTGTACCCAAGCACCATATTCTGCTACCAGTCCGGATCTACCTCCGTCTTCCCTGGGTCTAGGACTTGTGGACTCTGAAATCTACTCATTTCTTTTTTTTTTTGGTTTTTCGAGACAGGGTTTCTCTGTGTAGCTTTGCGCCTTTCCTGGGACTCACTTGGTAGCTCAGGCTGGCCTCGAACTCACAGAGATCCACCTGCCTCTGCCTCCCGAGTGCTGGGATTAAAGGCGTGTGCCACCACCGCCCGGCTCTACTCATTTCTTAATATAGAAAGATATAAATACAAAATTTGTCACAGCTGAGCTGCCCAGATCGTAAGTTTCTCTGGACTCTAGGCTCACTTCTGCACTCGGAACTTTCTGCGACTCCCTCCGCCCTGGTCTTGCTGGCTGCATCAGCCTTGTCTGTCAAGGCTGATCCCACAACTGAGTCTGGGCCTCTCCCCACATCCTCTTGACCAGCTCTCTTTGTCCTGTGGGTATCTGGTGGGAAGCAACTGGTCTCTAGTCCTAGCAACTTGTTTAATAACTAGTCCTAGCAACTGGCGCCGCTGGTCTCTCCAGCCTGCTCAGTGTGAAGCCCCAGATTTGAGTCTGCAGAAGGCATGCACTGAGCTCCCCCTGTTGGTAAGGCCTACTGTGCCCAGGAAACGAATATTATCCCATCTCACCCCTAGAAGAATTCATATTCCACTGCAAGAGAAAGATGGGACTAGAAACTATGATTGCTAATCATTGTGACATACGCCCATGTGGGAAATCAAGAGCCTCCAAGTAGAATATACCCGGCTGCAGGAGGGACAGGACCACAGGGCCAGGTGGGAGCAGATGAGTAGAGAGCAGTGCAGGCAGGAAGGAACCCAGGCTGGGGGCCCTCAGCTTGGAAGCCTTGGCTTAGGGCCTGTGGCCTTGGAGGAGAACCCAAAGTTCTTACAGCGACAGTGGGCTTGTGGCTCCGCAGTGGAGGCATGGCGTCGGCGGTGGAGGGTCGTGGGGGCAGCTCGGGGATGCTGGGGGGCTGAGGTGCTAGGCCAGGGGCTGGCGCCAGGCTGGCACTCAGGCTCAGAGTGCGGTGGCCTCGGAAGCGGTGCAGAAGGGCTCGAGGACACGTGGCTAGTCTGCTCTCCGAGAGCCGGCGCCGGGCACCAGCCAGCTCAGACCTCATGTTTCGCAGCACATCCAGGGAGTAGCGGCGATGGCCTGTAGGGGAGCCGGGCTGAGGGCTGCTGGAGTCCATCTCCTCCTCGCTGGCAGAGGAGGCATCTTCCTCATCCCTCTTCTCCCCTATTTCTTCTTCTTCCTCCTCTTCTTCCTCCTCGGGAGGTTCTTGTAGTACAGCCTCTGGGCCTCTGACTTCAGCAGGTGCAGGGACCAGACTGTCATTTGGACTGACCAGTAAGAACCAGGCTGGAGGGGCTGATGCAATCCCCGGGTCATTACATTGTTGGGGACAAGGTCCTCGGATGGCTGCTTCCACCCAGAAGAGAGCCTTCCTTTCCAGGCTGAAGTCATACTGCAGAGAGATGGGCGATGTGAGGCTCAGCTGGGGCAAGCCAGGGCCATGGAGACACAGCCCTCAGTGCTACCCTGGGGACCCTGTTCAGTCAAATTTGCCAGATGGGGAAAGCTCCTGGCTCTAACTAAGCTCTGGGTATCCTCACAGTCCACTCCCACCCTCCCTTACAGGTGTTTCTGGGGCTGACAGACATCATAACAGTTCAATGGCAAGCCCTGACATGAAGGGCAAATGGAGTAATGAGTTAATAGTATTAACCATGGTAGAACTCCAATATATAAAACCCTTTACCATTCAGTACGTCACTGAGCAACAGCTACCTCAAGACACTCCAGTAGAAACCACTTTTGTGGTCTGGGGGCTTAGGTCAGTGGGCAGAGGTCTTGCCTAGCACACACAAATCTCTGGGTTCCAGCCCCGGTGCCACATAAACTGGACATGGTCACGCACACCTGTGAGCTAAGAACTTGAGAGGTAGAAGCAGGAAAACAGGAAGTTCAAGGTCCTTCTGGGCTACATGGCAAATTTAAGACCGTCCTGGACTACATAAAACCTTGTTTCAAAAGCAATGTGTTCTAGGCAAAGGAGCTTTCACCTGGGCCCGGATCACTGGCCACAGAGCTGTCAGCCTGAGAAGTAGGTCCAGCAGACAAGCTTCCTCAGACAGTGGTAATACCTGTCCTCACTCCCTTTCCTGATACCCAAGATTATTTTGGGGCCCAGAAAACGTAACAATCTAATCTTCATTGAACTCTACCTGGTGGGTTCAGGAGTCCTCCCTGTTTTCCAGACTAGAAAATGAGGCTCAGATGATGCTATTTGTTGAGGACGGGTAGGTGGTGAGTGGCTGAGCTGTGTTTTGTCTGACTACAGAGCTTCCTCCACTGTATGTCAGGTTACTTAAAAGCAGAATAGAGCCAGGCAGTGGTGGCGCCGCACACCTTTAGTCCCAGCACCCAGGCAGAAGCAGGCAGAAGCAGGCAGATCTTTGTTAGTTCAAGGCCAGCCTGGTCTACAGAACAAGTTCCAGGACAGCCAGGACTACACAGAGAAACCCTGTCTCAACAAACCAACTGAAAAAAAGAGCAGAACAGAGCCAGGTGTGATGATCCCAGCAATGGGGGCAGAGACAGGCAGGTCTCCATGAGTTCCAGGCCAGCCTGGTTCTACATAGAGAGATAGAGGCCAGCCAAGATTACATCATAGTGAAATGCTCACTATGGAAAGACCAAAAAGAGAAAGCAAGCATACTAGAGCCCACATAAGTAATCTACCCCGGGAGTTGACAAATGAGGCAAAAGCCAGAGTTTCCCACCACTTATCTTTAAAGTTAAGAACAAAAAATAGACAATTCTGCTAAAAATATCAATATTTTAGCTCAGTGGTCAAACACTTGCATGGAGTGCACAAGGCTCTGACCTCCATCCCCAACACAGCACAAAGAAACAGATCTAGGAGGCAGTTTCAGAGTTCTCCTATGGCTAACTGAGGAAAGCATCTGGGGAAAGGAGTGTTTGGGGGTGGGAAGCAGGGAGAAGAGGTGTGTGGGAGGAAGGACACACAAATTCTAGACTCACAGTGCGGACACTCTCCCCTCTGCTGACAGAACTCTACCTTGGGGACAGGAACATAACCCAGCTGATGCGGCGTGAGTGCCTGTCCAGAGCTGGAGACCACGCTTTGTTCCTCTCCAGCTTTAGGGCCCAGGCCTGCCCAGGCACACAGCAGGCACATGTGAATATGCAGAATAAATGACTAGAGAGACTGGCATAGCAGGAAAGGCAGCGGAGAAGGAAAGACAGCTTCACCCCAGACACAGCTGAAGAGGAGACTGAAAGACAGACAGAGTCCGTGCGACTCAGAGCGGTGAAAACACACAATCCAATAAAACACCAACACTTTTTATTTCAAAACTACACCAGATGGATCTAAACTTCATATAAAAGGACAAGCAAAGAAGAACAGCCAGACAAACTCTGGGGCAAAAATACAATCAAGGGCCGGGCGGTGGTGGCGCACGCCTTTAATCCCAGCACTCGGGAGGCAGAGCCAGGCGGATCTCTGTGAGTTCGAGGCCAGCCTGGACTACCAAGTGAGTTCCAGGAAAGGCGCAAAGCTACACAGAGAAACCCTGTCTCGAAAAACCAAAAAAAAAAAAAAAAAAAAAAATACAATCAAGGATGCCTGGTTTTTCCAGTTCTTAAGAATTAAACTGCAATTCTTTGCAGGCAGATTAAAGGTACATGATAGAAAGCCCCAAAATAGACCTTAAGTAGTAAAGAGACTCTACAAATAGTACTTTATAAGCAATAAAGAGACATCTCAAGCAATAGGGAAAGGAGTGACCAGTTAGTAAGTGTCAGCGAAGGGGAAAGAGTCCACCACACACTGAATGCAACAAAGGCATCATCATCCGTGGTTCAAGTGTCTGATAAGGAAGAACTGGGAGAAAACAGGAGCAAGCCTTTCTAGTCTCATTTAGAGATGCTCCTGCTGAATCAAAGTCCAGAAGCCACCACCACACCCACACCCACACCCCCCCACACGCACGCACGCACGCACGCGCACACACACGCACACGCGCACACGTGTGTGCACGCGCGCTGTGTGCACAGAGAAAACCATCAACAGTCCAACAGAAAGGAGTGAGCAGTTCTAAGGAGAGCCCACAGAAAGAACAAATGACTCTTAAGCGATGAGAAGCTACTGGACCTCATTTGTCAACTGAGAAAAGCAAAGGAAGACTGCCCGGAGATGCCATTTGCCTGTCCCTTGTCCAGTCAGGTTTGTCGACCTCTCTTGAAGCTGGGAGAAAAAAGCCACTCTTATAATGAAGACCAGGGGATAAATCAGTATGAACCAGTGGAGGGCAATTTATGCAAATCCTGAAGGATCTTTGCATATAGGCAAGTAGTTTCTGGAACAACCTACCTATCCAGCAAGAGTGGACTAGTTCAACAAGTTTCCTATGATAATAATACAAAATACAACGAAAAACAAAACTAAAACTCACTATAGACTGATAAAATCTTATAAGCCAAGTGGTGGTGGTGACGCATGCCTTTAATCCCAGTACTCAGGAGGCAGAAGCAGGCCCATCTCTGAGTTCAAGGCCAGGCTACAGAGTGAGTTCCAGGACAGCCAGAGTTATATAATAAAATCTTACCTTGAAAAACAACAGAAACTTAGTAATACATTGAAATGAAAACAAAAAGAAATACCCATGAGCAAAAAAGGAAAAAGAAGGGGCTGGAGAGATGGCTCAGTGGTTAAGGGTGCTGGCCGCTCTTCCAGAGGTCCTGAGTTCAATTCCCAGCACCCACATAGCAGCTCACAACTGTCTGTAAGTCCAAGATCTGACACCCTCACACAGACATACATGCAGACAAAACAGCAATGCACATAAAATAAAAATAATTTTTTTTAAAGAAAAAGTGGGTAGTTATTTTTGCACATGCACACATAAGGACGGACTTCTGGTTAGTGCCTTCTATGCAAGACTGGCCACCAAGTTCCTCTCCTCGGTGGCACAGGCTTGTGTCAGAGAACGAGAGGCCATCGTGCAGGCTGCAGGGAGACTCGGAGCTGTGTACAAAGAAAGAGCAGGGCCTGGGCACCGTGTTGTGTGTTCTGGAGGCCACTGGAGCCTCTCCACTCCACCCGCAGGTCTTCCCATCCTAGACCGCGCTCTGTGCTCTCTGCTCTGAATTCCCAGAACCACTCCCCCTCTCCTTCCTGTGTTTTTTTTTTTAATTACTTTTCCCTTCAAATCTCACCTGTTTTTTTTACGTTATCTCTTATGTGTTAGGTCCTACTTTTAGCTAATAAGGCAAAAGGATCTGGAGACTGGGACTATACGTCAGTCTTGCCTCAGGCAATTACTGAATAAATCCTATTTGTTCTCTGCACCTCAGGTTTCTCACGTGCCAAGTGAGTAGGAGCTGAATCAGATCCTTTTTGTTGTTTGGTTTTTGACGTCTCACTAGGTAGACTAGGCTGTCTTGGAACTCAGGATCTTCCTGCCTCAGCCTCTCAAGAGCTTGGATTATACAGCATGAGCTACCACACATGCGAGCCCCAGAACAACTTGAAAGCTCTTGGCGATTTTACTTTTTAAGTTATGTGGATCTGTGTCTACCTTAGGATACATCTGTGCTATGATATAGGCAACTCCTCTACGCGAGCTACAGCTCCGTGGTTTAGCATAAATGTAAATGCAATGTATCTCCCCTAAAATCTTTAAGTAAACTTGATTCTGTAGGAAGTTAATTCATTTTTATCCTGAGGTTATTATGTGCAGCACCACCACAGGGCAGTGGGGGGGACACTTGAGGTCCTTTCAGACCCTAGCCAGTGTGCTGGGCTCTGGACTACTATTCCTCCTAATGAGCCTACACAGAGTGTTTCTTTCTTTCTTATTTTGAGACAGGGTTTCTCTATGTAGCCCTGGCTGTCCTGGAATTAGCTCTGTAGACCAGACTGGTCTTGAACTGACAGAAATCCGCCTGCCTCTGCCTCCCAAGTGCTGGGATTAAAGGCATATGCCACCACCGCCCAGCTAGCTGCTTGTACTTTTTTTTTTTTTAACAGAGATTCTGGAAATGGAGTCTTATCACCAAGAGTGATTTCTAATGGCTGATGGGGAGGAGGGGATGAAGTGGAGCACACTGGCAGTGACAAGCAATTCACATGGGCCGCTCACACAGGCAGGCTCTCAGCTGATCTAGGAAACAACTCCATCACCCAGACCCCAGCCTTCTCCATGGAACCTATTAGCTTACTTTCAGACTCCCTCGACTGTTGGAAAGCAAACCAAGCTTCCCTTTACAATCATGAGACAGGCCCAGGGGTTGGGTCTCAGATGTCAGATCCAGGGACGGAGCTAGATATTCAGAGACTCACTTACCATGGAGCCCAGCAGAAGCTCTCTACAGTCCGGGAGACTGAGCTCTGGAGCAGGGTGGGGCTCTGTGTCCATCGCAAAGCCCTTGGGCACCTTGAAGGAGACACCATCAAGGGCGTTCATCCTGCCAGAGAATGGTGGAGCTGTCTCAGAAGACCAATGGCAGGGAGAGGGCGTAGAGTCCTCAGAATGAGCCTCAGGCCACACTCCCCTGTGTAGAGGCCCCCACAGCTGGAAGGAAAAGAAGAAGTGGCCAGTGCTGTACAGGGAAGAAATGAGTAGAACCCAGAGCATCCATATTGTTTTATGTCGAAGTCATGCGTTACCAGGCATGTCCCAGCTGTGCCCACAGGCTGCATGCACCCCAAAGATAGCTATGAATAAAGTCCAATACAAAACTATAAACTTACTTAAAACATTGTAAGATGTTTTTTCAATTATTTTCCTGTGCCATTCTCCTGCAAGTTATCCTCTGACCTACACACACACACACACACACACACACACACACACACACACACACACACACTAAATAAATGCAGCATTTTTTTAAAGAACAAAATAAAGTGGAGAAATTGTATAACTGCACAGCTCCATAGACTCAGGATGGCCTGGAGCTGGAGTTACAAGTAGTTTGACCATAAGCTGCCTGACATGGGTGCTAGAACAGAACTCTGGTCCTTTTAAAGTAGGAAGTGTTCTTACCACACAGCAATCTCTCTGGCTGAGCGGCTCTATTCTTTTTTCTGGAGTGCAGGGAGGTCCAAACCCAGAGCTTTGCTTTCCTAAGCAAGCAACCCTCTCTCTATTAATTTTAAGAAACATGGGGCTAGGATACTAGCCAATGGGACAGGGTTTGCCTGATCTTCATGAGGCTTTGGGCTTGATACCCAGAGCAACAAAAACAAACCCCCAAACAAAAACAAAACCCACAAAAAAAAGCCTTAAGTCATAGCAGTTTAGGACTAAAAGGCAACTTCCTCAACCTAGTGAAGAATATCCCCAACCATCTACAGCAAACACCCTGTTCAAAGCGAAATATTGAGCGATGTCCTCAAGGCTGCGGTGAAACAGGGCGTCATACACCTTCTCTTCTGTCCCATGTGGCACCAGATAGTAGCTTATGCAAGAAGGGAAGAAAACTAATACACATACAGATTGCAAAGGAAGGAAACAACCATTTTGGTAGATCACAGTTACAGGAGAAAACTCCAAAAGAATCTATGAGCAAACTCTACGAATTCGTAACAGTTTAGAAAGGACGTTGGCTATGCAGTCAACATACAAAGTAAATTGCATCCTTATACGTGAACAATAAACCATGTAAAAGAATTTTTTTAATTTAAGATTGAATTTTTAAAAATAGACCATTGGTGTTTATTGCTATTATATATTATATATTATATCCACAAAGGACTTAATCTAACACAGTATGTGTAAGACCTCTATACAGAAAACCAAAAGCTATTAGATTAAATGGAGGAACATAGCCTGCTGGAAGATGATAAACTTCAGTATATAATTCTCTACAAACTGATTTGTAGATCCCAAAGATCATAATTCTATCACATTTTTTGGTGTAAACTGGCATGCTAATTCTAAAATTAAATGGGTTACAAAGAACCAAGAAAATCCAGGGTAGTCGTTTTTTAATGTGTATGTGCATCTACATGAATGTAAGTGATATGTGCACAGGTTCCCACAGAGGTAAGAGTGTTATGAGCTGCTCAACATGGGGATTGGAGTCTAACGTTGGGCCTCTGTAAGCATAGGAAGTGTTCTTAGCCACTGAGCCATCTCCCTAGTCCCAGTGCAATCATAAAAACAAAACAAGCAAAAAACAAATGAGAAAGGAGAAAGAGGGGAGACAGACTGCAGAGAGAGACAGACTACCAGAGATTGCCTTTAATCTAGCACTTGGAGGCAGAAGCAGGAGAATCTCTGTGTGTCTAAGGTCAGCCTGGTCCACTTACTGAGGTCCAAGCTAGTCAGGGCTACATAGTGAGACCCTTTCCCCCAAACTAAAGAAAACAAACAATAAAACCCCCCAAACAACAAGCCAGCAAACAGAAAGAAATGTGTGGTGATGACACAGTGCCCTTCAAACAGACCAGAAGAACAGAAATAATCCAGAGACAGCCACACAATACAGGCCCTTGATTAACGACAGTTTGCTCTGCAGAAGAGTAGAAAAGACTGCTCAGTAAATGTTCTGGATCAACCTGATATCCATCTGGAGAGAGAAATGAAGCAATCTTGGGTCTGAAGGTATAGCGCAGTGGTAGCGCACTTGCTTAGCTTAAATGAACCTTAGAACTGGAAAAAAAACTGACCTCTACTTCACATCATACCTAAATTCAATCCTACAGTTTTAGATGTAAAAACTGACCTCTACTTCACATCATACACAAATTCAATCCTACAGTTTTAGATGTAAAAACTGACCTCTACTTCACATCATACACAAATTCAATCCTACAGTTCTAGATGTAAAAACTGACCTCTACTTCACATCATACCTAAATTCAATCCTACAGTTCTAGATGCAAATGGTAAAGATAAAACAACAAAGCTTTAGCACACACCTTTAATCCCAGCACTGGAGGCAGGCAGAGGCAGGCAAATCTCTGAGTTCGAGGCCAGCCTGGTCTACAGAGCGAGTTCCAGGCTAGCCAGGGCTACACAGAGGAACGGTCTCTAAAATCCAAAACAAACAACAGTAAAAAAACACAAAACAAAAAACCCAAACAACTCAAAAACCAGTATGTGTGTGTGTGTGTGTGTGTGTGTGTGTGTGTGTGTGTGTGTGTACATATAATTTAAAGATAAGAGTATGCAATCATGTTGAATAAGTGTTTTTTTAATTTTATGAGTGTTTTACCTGCCTGTGTGTTGTGCATATGTGTGTGCCTAGTGCTTTTCAACACTAGAAGAGAGCATCAGATGCCCTGGAACTGGAGTTACTATTGTAAACCACCATGTGGGTGCTGAGAACTAAACCCAGGTTCTTTGAAAGAGCAGCAAGTGTTCATAACAGGCGAGTCATCTCTCTAGCCCCAAACAAACACTTCTACTTGTTTGTAAGGTGTTCATTTTTATGAAACTGGTCTCAAGTCAGTGTGCAGGTGAGCCTTTGGATGCTTCAACATCTCCACCCACTGCCAGGAAGACCAAAGCCTTCATAATCTCAAATTGGGGGAACAAAAAAGGGGGGCACAATGACTATTATAAAAACAAAAATAAAGTGCAGGTGACTGCCTCCAGAGTCCATCATGCTGCTGGTGTTACCACCAGGGTTGTACAAGGACTGCATTTCCCGAATGGCCATTCAGTGGCTTGGGTGTCAAAGGTTTTGAACAAGATCTGGGTCATCTTTTCATGGTTGTTCTTAGAGTTCAGGGGGGCCTCAGAGAGCAACATGGGGTACTCCTTGGGGGCTACACACACCTCATTGTAGAAGGTATGGTGCTAGATCATTTCCACGTGGTCCCAGCTGGTAGCAATGCCTTGCTCCATGGGATACTTCAGGGTCAGGATGCTTCTCTTGCTCTGGCCTTCAACACCCACATATGAGTCCTTTTGGCTCAAGTCCACCATCACACTCTGGTATTGCAGGCAGCTCAAGATGGAGGTAAAGACTTCTGGGGAGCATGGTTGCTGGTGAAGCTGATTTTACAAATGTAGCCATGACATCACCCATGGAGAACTGGGTGACTGGTGTGGACTGGCAGTGGAGGACTCTGAGGTCTGTGCTCTTAGGGCAGACATGGACTCCCAAGATGAAGGTATCTTAGAGAAGTCTACAAAAGACTCATGTTACAGAGCCGGTCTTGGTGACATGGGTCTCTAATCCCAGCTACTTAGAACACTGAGGCAGAGGATCACAAGTTCAATGCCTACCTGGGCTGCAGAATGAGTTTAAGTCTAGCCTCAGCAATTTAGAAGACTCTGTCTTAATATAAAAGTAAAGAGGGTGGGGCTACAGAGCTCAATGGTAGAGTGCTTATGTAGCAGGCAGGAAGCCCTCAGTTAATCCCCAGTATCACATGTATATAGATACACACAAAGAAAAAAAGGCTAACCACAAAGAAAATACTGATAAATGGGATTAAAGTTAGAAGTCTTAGTCATCAGAGTTTAAAGACAACTACAGAACGGGAGATGATATTTGCAAAATATCTCCTAACAAAGGACTCATATTCAGCCTACACAATGAACTTCTACAAACAATAGGAAGTTTTAAAATGTCCTTAGGAGGATATCCAAATGGCCAATTGATAAAGGATGTAATATTTAACCTCTTTAGTCATTGGGTATAGAAAGTCAAACAGTGGGCTGGAGAGATGGCTCAGAGGTTACGAGCACTGACTGTTCTTCCAGAGGTTCTGAGTTCAATTCCCAGCAACCACATGGTGGCTCACAACCATCTGTAATGAGATCTCGTGCCCTCTTCTGGCCTGCAGGTATACATGCAGTCAGAACACTGTATACATAATAAATAAATAAATAAATAAATAAATAAATAAATAAATAAATAAACCTTTAAAAAAAGAAAGTCAAACAGTGAGGTATACATGCAGTCAGAACACTGTATACATAATAAATAAATAAATAAATAAATAAATAAATAAACCTACCTTTAAAAAAAGAAAGTCAAACAGTGACCCACACATCAGTCATGAATAGTTCAGATTAAAGCCTGGCCATGACATGCTGTTGAAGATGTGAATGTCTGTAACTCTCATGCACTGTTGGTAAGGATGTCAATCAGGACGGGCCCATTATCTACCAAGGCTGAAATTCTACAATTAAAAGTGCATCTTCAGATCACTTGTCTTTTACACAGGGTTTAATAATGAGTTCACTATCTTTGGAAAACAAAATAAAACTCTTCCACATGGAATTCAAGCTCACAACTACCTATAATGTAAACTAAATTCCTGATCACAGCCCGGCATTTTAGTAACAGTCAGGAGCCAGGCCCAGGGTATGCTTCTGGCCCCAAACAATCGGTCAGCCCTGGCAGGGTGACACAAAGCCCTGCTGCTTGGGGTCACTGTGTGGTCATCCTGTTCCCAACAGGACAGCCTCACGTGGAGATGTTGGGTGGGTAATCTGGGAGCAGACAGGTCAAGTGAGGGCAGGTGGCCAAAGCCCTTAATTCCCTCATCTCCTCCCCAATCTAATTCTTCTCATGACGGTGTCTCCCAGCCTTTTGGACTCGTCTCTTCCTGCTGAATCCTGTCACTGCGTGTCAGCGAGTGGCAACTTAGGCCCCTCTATGGGCAAGATCAGACAAGTCTTGGGGTAAAATCTGCCTTGTCGGCTCATTTTTACTGGGTACCTGTGAGGCCTAAGGATGTTACAGGAGGCTCAGGAAAGCTAAGCAGGTTTTAACATCCTCAGATTTATCTTTCAGTCTCAGCTACCCTTGAATTTGGAATTACAGAGAAGGAAAATCCCAGATTCTATTGAAGCTCCAGAGTAAATTCTTGTCCACTTGAGATACAGACATAACAATCCCTCTTCCCATCTTCCACTTGACATCTGCATCCTTAATAACTGTTTTCTGCACAGCCCTGAACTGGCTTCTAGTTTGGAGAGTCTGAGGGTCTCTTTCTGAAGAACAGCAAAGGCCACAGTGGATCGGAGCTAGTTATAACACCCTAAAATGCATCAGGGAGTGCCTCCAGAAGAGGCAGCCTAGTCCTCATGGGGCTTGGGAAAGCTTTAGGAAATACATGGGGTTTAACTTGGGTATCAAAGGGTAGAAGGATGGATTGTGAGCAGAAAAAGGATCAAAGAGCAGGTATTCAGAAAAGAAACAGTAGCAGACAGACAGCAGATACAGGAATCTGCAGGGTGGGGTGAGAGGGTCACAAGTGAGTGAACAGCATGTGCACTCTGCAGCGAGATTCAGGGTAGATTAGGGTCCTGCTTGGGAGGACTTTATTTTTATATTTGTTTGTTTATTTATTTATTGTGTTTCCTATTTATTTATTTAATTTAGTGTGTGTGTGTGTGTGTGTGTGTGTGTGTGTGTGTGTGTGTGTGTGTGTTTCCTGAGGTCAGAGGAAGGTATTGGATGAATCTCCTGGAAGTGGAGCTACAGACTTTTGTGAGCTGCCATATAGGTGCTGGGAATTGAACCTGGGTTCTCTGGAAGAGCAGTGAGTTCTCTTAACCACGGAGCCATCTCTCTAGCCCCAAGGGCTTTAAGTTTTGAGCTGAGTTCTGACTCCAATCAGTAAGTGGCAGAGAAAGCCCTGAGGTGCCGGGATGGGGTGGAGTATACAAAGAAAGCAAGGATGTGCTTCAACAAACTATATAATCCAGACTTCTCAATTCCCAGCTAATGTGCCCATTGGGCAAATCCAAGTAGGGGGCTGGAGACTGGAGAAAGCTGTAGTGACTGACCTAGGTGTGGGCCTAGCAAGGAATGACTTCCCACTGTACTCTACATGACTTCATCCTTGCTTAGAGCTTCAATTACCTGCCAACAATTCCCACCTTCTCCCTGTCTCTTAGGAGATCAAACTCAAACACCTGCCTGCAAGGTACCTCCCAAGAAGCTTAGAGTGCCTCTAATTTAACACACACAAAGTGAATTTCACCTTTTTTCCCCCAAACCAATTTCCTCCCCAGAGGTCTTTGTCTCAAGGTATGATGAGCTGTTGCAGGGTGCTAACACTTTCCTTTACCACCTCCCATCTCAAATCCTCTGCCAAGTTTAAGAGTCTGTCTGTGGCACCTCCATGGCTAACACGGGAATCCAAGCTGGTGTTACTCACTGAGCAGCTCACCTCCAGTTAACCTCTCTTGTGCTACTATTGCATTTCTGTTCTACACACAGAAGTGTGATCATTTCAAACCACAAAACTACGCCACCATTCTTCCCCTTTCCATAGTTCTCAGGTGCTTTCCAAATAAGAATTAAAATTCTGAAGGCTTGCAATAGCTAGACTGATTGTGTGTGTGTGTGTGTGTGTGTGTGTGTGTGTGTGTGTGTGTGTGTGTGTGTGTTGTCGTCCTTTTGAGACAGGGTTTCTCTATGTAGCCCTGGCTGCCCTGGAACTCACTCTGTAGATCAGGCTGGCCTTGAACTTACAGAAATCTGCCTGCCTCTTCCTCTGAAGTGCTGGAATTAAAGGAATACACCACCACACCCAGCACTAGGCTGATTCTTCCCCACGTAACTCCAGCCAGAGTAGCCTTCACCTGCCATGGTCCCTTGACCCCACAGCACCTCTGCACCGCTACTCCTGACTCTGCCTATGTTTTTCTCTCTTCTCAACAATTAAAAACTTTTCTCCCCCAGAGCTGAAACGTCACCTGCTCAAAGCAGCTTTCTCCAAGGGCAGCTTTCAGTCATCTTTCCTAATCACTTTTGGAGACAGTTTTGAGTCCTCCAGACTGTCCTTGAATTTCTAAACAGCCGAGGATGGCCTTCAACTTCTGATCTTCTTGCCTTCACCTCCTAAGTGTGGGATCTGGTTTTATAGGGTGCTGGGGACTGAAGCCAGGGTTTCATGCATGCTAGGTAAGCATGTGCCAATTGAACTACATTCCCAGCTCCCCCCCCCCCCCCCTTTACTCTGACCCTTAGTGTACTCTGTGAACCAGGACACACATGTAGATGGAACAGCAACTTACTCTTACTACATGACAGTTTATATAACCTCACTTAAATGTGCTATCTGTCTGAAGTCAGTTCCTACTTTGTGATCTCACAGAGCCCTCTAAATACTCAAAACAGCTTTGCATTGTTGTATTAATGGCCATCTTCCATTTAACCTGTGTTCTCTGTGGGGTTATAGGATATTTCTTAGCATCCACGAGCACTCTGTATGAAACATCTGGACAATGAAAATACAGATGTGTTAGTAGCACCATCACAGTGACAACAAAGAACTCTACCAGTGCAGCTACGGTATCAGTGAAAGCTAGTCTAGAAGGAGAAAGATGGAGAAAGCTTTCAAAAAGTTGTTATTTCCCTCAACACCAGGAAAGCAGGAATTCTGTTCACTCCTTTTTATGCTCTTAGCACCTAAGTCACAATACCTGGAAAATGGAAAACCAAAAGCCATCTCCCAAAGGGTACAGCTCCAATCCTGGCTTCCTCATCCTCACATGAATCAATCAAGCTGAAACTACCTACTGATGTGCGTTATACAAGTCAAACACCACCTGCCTCAAACGCCTCCATCTTTGCTTCAGAGATTATGTGAAAACAAGTTTATTCCAAAGCCAAATGGAATTTGCTTTGGAAACAAAATCTTCAGCAGCAGCCAGGTGTGGCACTCAGGAACTTCTGTGTGGATATATACAAAAGTACACAGCTCATTCAAGTTAACTCATAAGGTAAAGCAGAAACATGAATCAGCTGAAAGAAGCATTTTTAAACATATCATTTAAAAAAGAAGCTAACTGGAAATAAGACACAGTTTGTACTTACCTTCTAATTTCCAGGAGAGCTTCTCTGTGGACAGACTATGAAGACATGAACAGTACAACAGATGGTGTAATCCCAGCTAAGCTTTTTAAAAAGTCACATGGACACGGAAACATAAAGAGTTTTAGAGAGATTAAGCTGGTTGGCTTGTTGCAGCAAATTCTCAGACAGCACAGACTCCACTAAATACTTAGTATTTAACATACAATGACTCTTTCGCTCATGGCTTGTTACTCTTTCCTGTGTTTACCTAATTCCTTAAAAATTTGTGTTAGTCTCTTACAAGTCCTGGTTTGGGGATGTGTGTATTTTTTTTTTCCATATAGAATATAATTAATCTGGGCCTGGAGCAGAGGCTCGGTGGTTAGAAGTACTGGCTGCTCCTCCAGAGGACCTGGGTTTGATCCCCAGCATCCATATGGTGGCTCAGAGCCATCTGTAACTCCAGTCCCAAGGGACTGGACTCTCTTCTGGTTTGTGGGCACCAGGCACGCACGTAGTGCAAACACATACATGCAGACATAGCACCCACAAACACAAAATAGTAAAATATTTGTAAGGAAGAGTATGATAAATCAACAATTAGTTAACTTCCTGATTTATCTTTGAATTTTATTTCTTCATTTTATTAAACATTGATGTTTAATATATGGAGAATTTAGGTAAAAGTGAAAAATCCAAAAAAATGAATTGGTAAATGGCTGAAGGTAAACCGAATTATAGATCTAAATTCTGCTGATTGAAAAGACTAAGATGACGGGTGGTGGTGGCGCACGCCTTCAATCCCAGCACTTGGGAGGCAGAGGCAGGCGGATCTCTGTGAGTTCGAGGCCAGCCTGGGCTACATAGGGAGTTCCAGGACAGGTTCCCAAGCTACACAGAGAAACTGTCTTGAAAAACTAAAAAAAAAAAAAAAAAAAAGAAAGAAAAAGAAAAAGAAAGAAAAAAACAACCTAAGAAATGACCAAGGGTCACTGTAGTCAGGGGTACAGCACTCACCCGAGTCTCTCCAAGCGTGGAAAGAACAATGGCGGCAGCTGCTACAGCTCACAGGCAGGCAATATACCAGGAAACTTAGAAAACGAAAAATGGACTAAAATAATGCTCTTTATGAGAGTCTTGCCGACACCAAATATAGATCAGGAGTAGCTTTTCTCCACTCAGAGTTCAACGCCTCCTTTTCTGGGTCAGTTGCTGAATCTCCCTAGTCCCTGTCCATAGATGCTGGTATCCACGGTGACAGGGCCATACTGTCACGACTCATACAATCCATTGCTGCTCTTCCTGCAGCTCATCTCAGAGCAGGAAGTGAAGAGTTCAAAGGAAAAGGTACACAGGCCTGTCGGTCAGGGGAAGCTAACTGTATTGGACCTTAAAACTCATGAGCTCAGACACACTGGGACAAAACAGCCCGTTCCCTAGCTGTCCGGTATAAAGCAGTTCTGTCCCCTAGGCGTACAGCAGAATGCACAACTGAGCAATACATATTAAACTACAAAAAGGGACAAGCATGTTAGTATGTCACACCTAAGGGCTCCCAATTCCACATCGTTTCCAAAGTTGATGATGATCTTTCTTGCTATCCAGAGTCAGATTTTACAGCCAAAGTTTTGCGTTTACAATCATTTTTCTGCAGCAAACACCTGTTTATTAAATTTGGAGTGAAATGCTTTAGCAATGTGAAGATGAAATGTGTTAAATGATTCGAGAGAGGATAAATCAGGGGCAAAGGCTCAAACGAAAAGTGAAAATGGTATTTATTTAGCTTTTAGGAAATTAAATAACAAAACCCAGAATAAAGCAAAACAAAAACCATAACATGTCATATGATTGATCATGTCCAAGCACAATAGCTCTTATTAATGAATATAAAAAATAAAATTTACCGTTCATATTTGCTCTTTTCCCAACTTTTACTATATGGATATTTTTGGAAGCTTGAGCTAAGGGGGGAAAAAAATCCCAGAGCTACCCCAGTCCCTACCATGTGACTGAGATTACGGTCCCATAGGGAAACACGTTTCTATTCCTGGAGACCCCACAGCTAGATCCCTCGGAACTCTATAGATTGGCGCTTTCATGAGGAACACAGGCACTGTCTGTCAGAGCACGAGCCGACCTGGTCTGGCCCTTGGGTTTCCTAAGCTCTCCACAGGATAGACAACAGTTCTAAGCCGTCAGCATTCCTGGCAGCCCAGTCTACAGCCACTGCCATGGTCCTCAGGAGCAGCCTCCCAACTGCACCAGAACTGGGGTTAACAGAACTGTAGGTCAAACTCTGACCTGCACCCCTGGGAGCTGGAGGGCAGTCGGTATGGGAAGATCAGGAGTAGTGGCTGCTGACTCTCCTCAGTGAACCTTCAAGCAGTAACCAAGTGCTGACTGTACTTACCCACCAAAATACAACAAACTACAGCAAATGAGCAGGCCACACCAGACCAAGCCCCTCAAAACAGAGGCAGATTTAGTGAATGAAGGCCACTGCTGTGCTAATAACCCCAGTTCATCTAGGCCCTTTCCTGCTGCAAGAGGCACACTGGCCAGGGCAGAGAACAGAAGGAAGCAGGACTTCCAGCCAGGACAATGCCGCATGGAGTTGAAGTTGTGCAGAAGACCACAGCAGAGATGACAGCATCACTAGTATCTAGAGCTGCAGTGCTCGCCTGTGGGACCACGCTCCTGGAGCCTCTTAATGCATCTTAACAGCCGTTGCCCAGATGTCGTTGCTGGGGATCGGGGGAAGGACCCATCCTTGGGGAACGGAGTTGCCTTTAGGATGATCAGACGGCACCAGGTACTGATCCCAATCATGCCTTAATAAGAACATTACAGAACAATGTTTATTTCTGGTTTTCCCCAAGCAAGATATTCAGAAACTATATTTCACATCTAGGATACTGTTTTCAAATGACATATGTACTGACCTGCTACAAAACTGGGTTTCTAGGAAGTATGCCTAGGGTCACATTAATGTACACATTTAAGGAAAAACTTAAAAGTTTTCAAACTCTGTAAACAGTCAAACAGTGAATGTACAGTTGACACTTATCGTTTGCAGAATCTATATTTCTAATTTCTCTCTCTCTCTCTCTCTCTCTCTCTCTGAGACAGGGCTGGGCTGAGGCTGGCCTTGAACTCCTTATCCACCTGTCTCCACCTCCTAAGTGTTAGGGCTACAGGCATGAGCCACCACACTTGGGTACATTAACAAATTTAAATCATCCCATATGGCATTTTCATGGACAACCACAAATGCAGAGAAAGAAAGAAAAAATCTGTCACATTCTGCTTTCGTCTCTTCCGGCTCTATGGTACAAATCAGCGTCCTTTTCGTGGTCTGCTCTGTGCCATGTGGTCAGTTTTGTGCTTCTAGATTATAGACAGTTAGCCCTGATGCGATGCTTATAATCAACAGCATACATTAAATTATTGTCTTCAAACAGACACATGAAACAAGGTGGTGATCAGCTAATAAAAAAGTAAGACAGAGGCTGGAGAGATGGCTCAGCCGTTAAGAACACTGGCTGCTCTTCCAGAGGATCCAGGTTTGACCTCCAACATCCACATGGGAGCTCACGACTGTCTGTAACTCCAGTTCCATAGAATCTGATGCCTTCTTCTGGCCTCCACAGACAGCAGGCACACATATTGTACAGACATACATTCAGGCAAAATACCCAATCACATAAAATTAAAAAAAAAAAAAAGTCAAGACAGGAGGCTCAGCTGTCTCCTTTAGGAGCAATGTCCAGTATTCTGTGACTCAATATTCACAGTAACTTGAGTACACACCCCTGTCATCAATAATAGGTTTAAAGGCTAAAACTGTGTATCAGACAAAGTTAAAACTCTTCCTGAGGGGCTGGAGAGATGGCTCAGCGGTTAAGAGCACCAACTATTCTTCCAGAGGACCTGGGTTCAATTCCCAGCACCCACATGGTGGCTCACAACCATCTGTAATGAGATCTGGTGCCCTCTTCTGTATATGTAATCAATAAATAAATCTTAAAAAAAAAAAACAAAAAACTCTTCCTGAAAAATAAATTTGATATGCCAGAAAATTCCTTCCCAAGACTGAGAAACTACTGGAGTGTTGGAAGGAACTTCAGTTTCTTTCAAGCCGTTCTTTGAGACCCCTAGGTCCTAAGATGTTTTAGCCTAGAGACAACAAAATGCTTCTAGGTAACAAGTTTATACTGCCTGAGACATCTAATCATTTACTTCATTTTACCTACTGACTACTCAAAAGACTGCATGTGGGCAAGAGGCTTTTCTCAAAAGAGAATGAAGAGAACCAGGCCAGCTATGGTGATGCAGGCCTTTAATCCAGCACTGAGGTGGTGGCGGCAAGTGGATCTCTGAGTTCAAAGACAGCCTGGTCTACAGAGCAGTCACAGCCAAGTTTCTTAACCTGTTGAAATGGAGATACTGACTTCCAAGAATTAATGAGGACTTTTAAGATACAAGCGGCACCCTTGAAATTTGGCAACACTACACACTCAAAAGGACCTTTTTAAAAAAAGATGCAGCAACAGACCTCAACAGTGGAAGCATTTCATCAAGAGCTTGCTGCTACCCAAGACAAAGGGACTCAAGAGGCTGCCCTTCTGACCTTATCTGAATGAGCGCAGGCAGGGAGTGCTCGGCCTGGAGGTAATACTGGCGGAACGGCTGTAAGAGGTGAGCAAGTGGGAAGTCATCTGAAAGAGAAAGGCACACATGTCACCTTGCTTGCTGTTCAGAGTGCACGATTATGACAACAGGCTAACTTCATCTCCTCGGGAACCCTGACCTCCACCATGTAGTTGGGAATCTCAACTTGTAGTCAGGACTGCCTTTCAGCTCAAGCTGGGTTTCTCACAATAAAAGAACCATCAACTTAGATCTTTCCTCTGTCTCCACTGGCAAGGGTAAACTTACCCGGATCTCCAAATAACTTGGACTCAATTTCACGCTTCTGAAGTAAAAGTCTCTCTCTCTCTTTTCTCTGTTTCTTTTCTAATTCTCTTTTCCTCTCTTCCTCCTGTTCTCCTTCCAACATAACTCGGAGGGCTCTCTCTTCAGCTTCATACAGTTCAGAGCGCTTTTTAATGAGTTTTCTCAGCCGCTGAAGATGGTTCTCAAAAGTCTCATCCGCTGAGGCAGGAGGACAGACCCCTGTGCAAAAAGAAGTAAATGGAGGTTCCTTTACCTGTCCATTCCTAGGCAGTAAAAGAAGAGTAAGAAGAGCACCTATGCAGCACCTGCCTTGTGTTTACACACACTCCCTAAGACAGCAGGGCAACGACTGAGAAAACTGGTGACCACCTGCCACTTTCCAGGAGAGGCAGAAGGTCTGCACCTTCTCCGTCCATCTCTCCGACCTACTTAGTTTCTTTACTGATCCTTACTTTGACATCGTCTGGAAGTTTGTCTTTTGGCCCTCATACCATTCTATAATCTCAAGGTCATTACAACTCATGCTACTTGCTGATGAACACCACATACCCACACCCACACCCACACCCACACCAGAGGAGGACATTAGCTGTCCTGTTCTATCACTCTTTGCCTTGTTCCCCTGAAACAGGGACTCTCACTGAACCTGGAGCTAGGTCGGCACCTAGCAGCCCCTGCCATCCTCCTGAGTACAACCCTGCACTGGGACAAAGGCATGAGTAACTACATCTGTGTAGACCACAAGTTCCTGAAACTTGACCAGTCAACTCAAGACTGTTCTCCCTGTTTGTCTCAGTAGGAGTGACACCATCATTTGTGCAGCAGACCAGGTTAGAACCGTGAAATCACCATAAAACAAAGAGAAGGGAGAGGTGTTTGATTTTTCGTAAGAGAGCTTCAAACAGCAACTACTAATCTTCCCTCTTACATACAACTGCCCTGAAAGAACCAGTGAGAGCACAGGATTCTGAATACACTGGAAGCTGACTTGTAGAAAGCAATCCGTTAGTGAATGAGTCTGGCTCAATGCACAGCAGTTACACCCCAATAAAACCTTATTAAGGATCTAAAAGTTCTGTTTTCGTAGTATTTTTTTCTTTATCTAATTTTTTTGGGTTTTTTATTTGTTTGTTTGTTTGTTTGGTTTTTTTTGAAACAAGGTTTTTCTGTGTAGTCTTGGCTGTCCTGGAACTCACTCTGTAGACAGGCTGGCCTCGAACTCATAGAGATCCACCTGCCTCTGCCTCCCAAGTGCTGGGAGATTAAAGGAGTGCACCACCACTGCCTGGCATCTAAACTTTTTATTTTATGAGTAAGTATAGGCACATTCATGTCATGGCATGCATGTAAAGGTCACAGAATAACTTTCAAGAGTTGGTTCCCCCTTTCTATAGTGGGGCCCAAGGTTCAAATTCAGGACTTCAGGCTTGCCCAGCAAATGCTTTTATCTCCTGAGTCATCTTGCTGGCCCTGGTGTCCTATTTTAAACCACACAGGGGAAAGAAACTATTAGTCAGACTGGCATTTGGTAACTTGTACATGTTGTGATGCAATTTTCTACAGAAGTAAAACATGCCACTTGTAACTCTAATTCCAGGGTATCGACACCCTCTTCTGACCTCCACGGGTATTTACACACACATCATGCATACAGTCATACAAACACAATATTTAAAATAGATTAAAAAAAAAAAAAAAAAAAAAAAAAAAAAAAAAAAAAAAAAAAAAAACAAACCAGGGGGCTGGAGAGATGGCTCAGAGGTTAAGAGCACTGACTGCTCTTCCAGAGGTCCTGAGTTCAATTCCCAGCAACCACATGATGGCTCACAACCATCTGTGATGAGATCTGGTGCCCTCTTCTGGCCTGCAGACAGACATACATGCAGACAGAACATTGTATACTAAATAAATAAATCTAAAAAAAAAAAAAAAACCAAATTTCTGAGCTACTGCTGTGAAGACCAGTTACTCTAAAGAGTACAAATAATTAAGTTCCAAATGGTCTTCCTCCAAAAATATGTGCAAGCCAAGCATAGAGGCCCAGGCCACCTCTGTTGTGACCTCTACCACAGAGAAGCTGAGGCAGGACAACTGTCACAAGTTCAAAGCCAGCATGCGCAGCAGAGCTGAGATTCTATCTACAAGAAACAAAAGACAAGGGAAGGTAAGAAAAGGGAAACACTCCCACCATGCTATGTTACCCGGATGGGGAGGAACTAAGATGGAGGAGGAGGAAGAGGGAGAAGGAGGAGAAATGCAGACTGTCCTTACCTTTCCTTGCTGCGGCTTCTTTCCTCAGTTTCCTCAGTTTCTCTAAAGCACGCAGAATGTCCACCATTCTTTTAGTGTCCGATTGTTTTTTCCTTACTTCAGACAAGACCCCATCAGCAGCCGCTTTGAGTTCCTGCTCCTGAAGGGAAGAAGAGCCACAAGAACTTGTATTAGGAACCTCCTCACAGCAGATGAGCCCTCCCTGGAGGCAAGCTTCCAGAGGACCAGGCTGTCCACAACCGCTGAGTCTATGTTTCTATTTCCCAGACCTAGCATGCTACACTGGTTCAGTCAGGGCTTCTTTTCCTGGTTAACGAGACAACCATGTTGCCGCTTCGTTTGCCGAGACTGTCGTCCGGCCATCATCTCCCCCGCCCTCTCCCCCACGGGACCCAGGCTGACTTTGACTGAACTCCCTGTCCTCTTACCTCAGCCTCCCACTGACGTGATCCACCTCTCCCAGATGATCACACAGCCTTCTCCTCTTTTTGGTTTTGTTTTATTTCTAAGAGATGGTCTTACTCTGTCGCCCAGACTGGCTTCAAACTACAGCATCCACCTGCCTCAGCCTCCAGGTGCTGAGATCACAGATGTGAGCCACCACGCCCAGCTCCATAGAACCTTCTTAGAGGGGACCCTCTCCTCTCAGCAGCTTCAATACCTGCACTGCGTTCTTGTCTCAGTGTTTCCAGGTGTGGTCCAGGAGTGCCTGCATCCAATTTACCTTGTCAAGCTAAAGTTCTATTAAAAATGCAGATTAACAGACCTGATGAATCGGCTCCCAAGGAGGACAAGAAATGGATCTGGAAAAGCCTAGGACTCTACAACGTCTCAGAGAAACACTAAGTTTGTCCTCCTCTGCTCCCAAAGATCCCAGAGATCGCTTCTACAATCTCTCACACACTGGAGCTAGTCTTCCTGGGATCTGTCTTCATATCCTCATCTGCTTGCCTACTTCTCTCCCACCTGTCAAGCGAGTGTCTACAGTCCCACCATCACAGCCAGTGACGACACCTCTCCACTCTCCTGCTTGGAAAACCACGACTACCTGTAGCTGGTGCTTCACCTTAGCACTGCTCGAAGGCTCAGAGCTCAGTCATTCCGTTATCTAGGGTCTTCCGCCAATGAACTAGATATTCTCCCCTGGGCTCCTTCTACTACCTGTACTGACATGATCCCCTCAAGGCTCTAAGCAATCAAAGAAAAGCGATATTTTATTCCTCTCTAGCCCTGCTATCAGACACTAGGCCCAATACCTAATGGGCCCTTACTAAATGTTTGCTGAAGTGACTCTAATTTCATCAGATTAAAGTATTGCCTCCCTAGTGCTGACATTCCTGAGGGTACAATGCTAAAGTTTGCTATCAATATATTTCCCAGCAATGCTATACTGGTCTCTAGGACAGTGGTAGACACAGGGAAAAGGGAGATTGTACTGGCTAATTTCATGTCAACTTAAAACGAGCTGGCTAGAGTCCTTTGGGAAGAGGGACACTCAATTGAGTGTCCAATTGTGGGTGGTGCTACTGCTGTGGAATAATCCTTCTGTACACTGTGAATATGTATTACTCTCATTGGTTAATAAAAAGCTAACAGGCTGGTAGCTGGGCAGGAAGTTAGGTAGGAAAGCCAAATTGAGAATGATGGGAAGGAGGGCAGAGTCAGGAGAGACGGCAGCCAGTTGCTGAGCCAGCAGGACATATAAAAATGAGGGAACAAGCCATGAGCCATGTGGCAAAGCATAAATAGAAACATGGGTTAATTTAAGTGTAAGAGTTAGCTAGTAACAAGCCTGAGCTATCGACTGAGTATAATTCATATTCACCCTGAGTTGGTTATTTGGGACTGGGCTGTCAGTACAGGAAATTTCTGCCTATATGCTACCCATGGGCAGGTAGTCCTGGGATATATAAGAAGGCAGGCTGATCAAGCCCTGGAGAGTAAGTCAGTAAGCAACACTTCTCCACGGTTTCTGCATCAGCTCTTGCCTCCAGGTTCCAGCCCTGTTTGAATTCCTGTTCTGACTGCCTTTAATGATGGACTAGGATGTATAAGTGTAAGTGAAATAAACACTTTCCTCCCCAAGTAGCTTTTGGTAATGCATTTCATCACAGCAATAGAAATCCTAACTAAGACAAAAGTCTTAGCTGATTGCGGAGAGTAGAGAGGCAAAAGAACCCTTAGCACTGTCCCAACAAGACCCTGACAATGACACCAATAGACACGTTAGCATGGAAGGGGAAAGCCCCAAAAGCCTCAACCCTAGACAACTACAGGCAACTGGGGAATGCTCAGAGCAAGAGAAATGGTCTTCCCCAAGGACTAACAGCTCAATTCATTACCAATACCACGTGGTCATCCCTGAAATCATATACATACAAGTAACATTAAATGTACTGGTCAGGTTATATTTATGTATATATGTAACAATAAGTAAAGAAAGAGGCCATGAATTTGAAAGAGAACAAGGGAGGTGCATGGGAGAGGTCGGAGGAAATAAACGGAAAAGGGGAAATGATGTAATTATATTTTCAAAAATAAAAAAAAAATATATTCTAAAAAGGCAGCAGTGGGGCTGAAGAGACAGCCCAGCAGTTAAGAGCACTTGCTGCTCGTACAGAGGACCAAGGCTCAACTCTCAGCACCCATACAGTGGTTCACAATCATCTCTAACTTCAGTTCCAGGGGATCCGATGGCCTCATCTGACCTGCATGAGCACTAGGCACACATGAAGTGCACATACAAACATGCAGACAAAACACTCATATAAAAAATGAATAAATCGAAAATAATAATAACAATAACAACAGCATTCAAAGGTAATGAGGATGCCTTCAGCCAACACTTGGCAAATTTTTCTCCCTGGCTCTACTGAAGAACATGAGATAGATAAGCTCTGAAATCAGACAACCTAGACTTACGTCTGATGTGATACTGGTACAAACTTGTGTGACTGTTGTCAAGTTAACTGTTTTAAGTCTCAATCTATAAAATTAGGTAACGAATTTCTCAGGGTTGTATGTAGGACATTAGTGTAGTGTCCACTATAGACGTGGGTGCTGAACTGGGGAAGGCAAGCTAGAAAACAGGGCAGCAACCAGGGACACCAGTGTATTTGGGTTATGCACACTCTCCTCTTACAAGAAATAATGCCCCTGGCAGCCAAGCTCCTTTGCCTCTCCAAACAATGCACCTAGCAACCTCAGACCTCCATCTTTACATATACTCCTCCTCACTAAACAATGGAATAGGTTTCTTCTCCCCTAATGACCATTGAACTTGGACAGTTTCTATTCAAACATATTCCCAACACATCTTACTAGGAGGGCCCATACAGCTGGAACTGGTTTTTGGTGCATGCACAGTAAGGAAAAAGTTAAACCTGTGTCCAAGTAAACTTTTAGAGTAACCTACTTACCATCTTATGCCTATACACATGCGAAGTGCTTATGATTAAAATCAAATGCATCACGGGGAGGCACATATAGTAGAAAAGATCACAGGGCCTAATCTCTCAATCAAAATAGAGAACCATCTTCATTAGACACATTAGTAACCAAGTTCCTCCTCTATAACCCTACAAAACAAAGTGCCAAAAAACAAGCGGAGACTTTTGAGTATCTTCTCTCGTGTGGACCCTGTGGCTGCCAACCTTGACAGTGTATTCCTTCTAATCTGTACTTATTGCTTTGTTGTTTTTTTTTTTTGAATAAAGTTTTCTTGCTATTTTTGCAATTCTGTGTGAGTCCTTATTTCAATCATTTGAATAAGAGGTCAAGTACCTGGAAACACCTGGACAAGACAGACTCATACCACCCAATACACAGGGATTCACAGTTTCAAACTAATAAACACATGAATCCTAGGGGAAACTATTATTAATCTCACCAGCTAATTAGGCTATAAAGGTCTCGAGGTGTGGCCCAAGTCCTCTAAATTTGCATGCTTAGGGTACTATAAAACATAATACGGAGGTCAGTTAGTACTGAACATCAGTAAGTGGATCCAACTTTGAAGCAAGGGACAGGAGGTGTGCCCTCCCAGAAATGTACCAGCGTGAACTTGTCGTGTGTTTACGGAACTTCATAGTGTACATTCTTGTGTACCATACATCATCAAAACAGAATACAGAACAAAGAGGTGGTAAAGGCTAGCTTTCACGGATAAGCATCCAAGTTAACCAGCACGCAGATTCAGGTTCCAGTCACCACCGCTCCAACTGCATAGTAGTTCTCACCCGCTTCTTTTCCTCCACTTCCTGCACGCATTTCACCCTCCAGCGGTCAATCTCCTGCTCCCGTTCCGCGGCCTGCGCGGCCTCCGCCTCCCGCTCAGCCTCGCGTTCCCGGGCCCTCTCACGAAGCCACAACCGGCGGCGCCGGACCCTCTCCAGCCTCCGTCGCGCCTCGCCCACATAGGCGGCCTGGGCCAGCGGCTGCAGCCGCTCGGTTAGCTCCGCTCGCAATGGTACGGCCTGAGCGTGCAGCGAGGCCCAGGCCGCTCCGTCGGCCTCGGCCTCGCGCAGGGACTGCCCCAGGCTGCGTAGCCGCCGCACTAGGCGCAAAGCGGCGCGCAATCGCGCGCGCACCTCGCCCAGGCTAGGCCCGACGGGTGTGCGCGGGGGCCCGGGGCCGCCCGGCCGCCGGGGGTTCCCGAACACCGCCTCCAGCCACTGCCGGTCGCGCAGGCGCTGCAGGGACGCGTCCCCGAGCACGTCAGGCGGCGGCGGCGCCTCGGCCCAGCGCGGGCTCCAGGGCGGCCCAGGGCCTGGAGGCGGTGGCCGCGGACGCTCGCCGGCGTCGGGCCCGGGGAAGGGCCGGCACTGCGGCGGCGGAGGCGGCAGCGGCGGGGGCGGCACCGGAAAGAAGGAGCCGCCACTGCTACCGCCGCCGCCGCCGCGGGAGGCCTCGGCCGGGGCGCGGGGCTGCAGTGCCAGCGGAGGCTGGAGGAAGGGGGTGGATGCCCCCGGGAAAGGGCCGGGCCGCTGGGGAAGAGGCGGCGGGAAAGCCGGGGAGGGCAGCGGCGGGGGCGGACAGCCGAACGGAGCGGAAGGCGGTGGCTGCGGGGGCGGCGGCCCCTGGCGGCCCTGGACGAAGAAGGGTGGCAGGGCCATGTCGGTAGTGCAGCGGCCGCGAGCGGTGACAGTAATTCTGTGCACTTCTTTAGGCGAGTTCCGGGAGGAAGTGACGTTTTACAAACGCGCGACTCCCTGCTTCACTCGCCTCCCGGAAGTGCGTCGCACTGCGGTGCAGTGGTTTAGTCTTGAATTCACAAGTCCTGTCTTTTTTGAAAGTTCTGGGTGAGGGACTACAGAGACTCAGCCTGAGGCTTCGGCAAAGATCCGAGAGACAAGAAGGAATTAATTATAAGAGAGGAACACAGTCTGGATGGAAACAGCATGTGCTAGTAATTTGTAGAATGTCTGTTGGGGGTCTGAAAGAATGCCAGCGTGTGGAACACAGAAACACCAGGGAAACTTGGTGATCTTTGGGAGATGGACAGAAGTTTAGTGTCCACAGTGTCATATCGGGTTTTTTTGGTTGGTTGGTTGGTTGGTTGGTTGGGTTGTGGTTTTTTGGTTTGGTTTGGGTTGTTGCTTTTTGTTTTTTCAAGACACGGTTTCTCCGTGACTGTCCTAGAACTCACTTTGTAGACCAGGCTGGCCTCGAACTCGGAGGTCTGCATGCCTTTGCCTCCCTAGTGCTGGGATTAAAGACGTGAACCACCAACGCTCGGCTCCAGGTTGCCAACTCTTTTTTTTGTTTGTTTGTTTGTTTTTTGTTTTTCGAGACAGGGTTTCTCTGTATAGCTTTGCGCCTTTCCTGGAACTCACTTGGTAGCCCAGGCTGGCCTCGAACTCACAGAGATCCGCCTGGCTCTGCCTCCCGAGTGCTGGGATTAAAGGCGTGCGCCATCACCGCCCGGCTTGGTTGCCAACTCAAATGTTATGAATTTGCACGGGTCAGGGATCCCCAGCTGACTGGGCCAGGATATCCCATTAGAGCAGAGAGCCATGCTGGCATGTTGGGCAGATGCAGCCGTGGGCTGGCGGGCGACCCTCGCCATGTGGCATGCGCAGGGCCGCGGCTGCAGGCGACTGGACAGTCATTCAGGACCCAGACACTGCATCCGTGGGGAAATGGTTTATTATAATAGAGAGACAAAGAGAAAGATAGGAAAGAGGGAGAGAAGAAAGAGAAAAAAGGGTACAGAAAGAGAGGGGGATGGAGGGTGCACACCTCGTGGGAGGAAAAGTGAGAGAGAAGGGGAGGATTTTTTCCTTAAAATGGGGCTTTTATGTCAGGACGCAAGGGAGGCACCAAGGGGCAGATTAGAAACTAACACTTAAGAACAATGAAAAACCAGTGGTTATAAGCCAGAGTTGTGAAGGGAAGTCCTTCCATTTTATTAGTTAAAAAATTAAACTTCTTTGAAATAATTTATGATTCATATTCAGCTGTAAGAAACAATACAAAGTGCTTCTTTCTGCGTGTCCTTTATCCCAGTTTCCCCACCAGCAACGTCTTATAAAGCTGCAATGCGGGCTGGAGAGATGTCTCAGTGGTTAAGAGCACTGGCTGTTCTCCCAGAGGTCCTGAGTTCAATCCCCAGCAACCACATGGTGCCTCACAACCATCTGTAATGAGATCTGGCGCCCTCTTCTGGCCTGCAAGCATACATGTAGACAGAACACTGCCTACATAATAAACAAACAAATAAAGCCAGGAGGTGGTGGCACACGTCTCTAATCCCAGCACTGGGAGGCAGAGTCAGGCGGATCTCTGTGAGTTCGAGGTCCGCCTGGTTTACAGAGCGAGATCCAGGACAGGCACCAAAACTTAGAGTGGGGTACATGCCGCATGCCATGATGTGGAAGGAGGACCACTTGAGGGAGTAAGTTCTCTCCTTCCACCAAGGGGGTCCCCAGAAACAAACCTGGTTCATCAGACTTGGTATCAAGGACTTCTACCCTCTGAGCCATCCAAATTGTTTTTTAGAGTAGCCATACCTTTTTATTTTCACCAGCAATATGAGCAAATTTGATTTCTCTGCATTCTCATCCTTTCCTTTGAAGTATCTTTTCATATCTTTTGTATTTTCTAGTGGAATCTTCTGTTTATGTGTATGTGAATTTGGGCCAGCACATGCCATGGCACATGTTGGAGGTCAGAGGTCAACCTTCAGGAGTCTGTTCTCTCTTTCCACTATGGGTTCCAGGGATTGAGCTCAGGTTGTAGTGTTTACACAGGTATTTTTACCTAATAATCCTTGCTGGCCCTTACTGTTTCTTTTTAAATGTATGTCTGAGTGTATGTGCATGTGTATAGGCCAGAGAGGGCATCTTTCTCCACTCTCTGTTCTATGTTGGGTGTGGGTTCACAAGGATCTGTGGAATCAAGACACAGAGGCACCTCAAGGATGAAATTAGCCTTTCCACTGCAGGGGGATCAGCCTCTCTGGACTGACTCCTCCTAGCTTAGCAAAGGGCTTTTTTTTTTTTTTTTTTTTTTTGGTTTTTCGAGACAGGGTTTCTCTGTGTAGCTTTGCGCCTTTCCTGGAACTCACTTGGTAGTCCAGGCTGGCCTTGAACTCACAGAGATCCGCCTGGCTCTGCCTCCCGAGTGCTGGGACTAAAGGCGTGCGCCACCACCGCCCGGCGCAAAGGGCTTTTTTATTGTTCTCCAATTTGCACTTTTTAGCAAGTTAATTTCTGTATCCCAAAACCTCTTATCCAAGCTCCCCAAAGGGACACTGCCAAATGCAGATTCTCAGTTAAGGAATGCCACAGTTTTCTGGGTTGTCCTCAACCAAGTTTGCACAGGCTTTGCACCTTTAGAAAATTCCCAGACAAGATTCACAGAGAAGGTGCCGGGAGACAGGAGGCAGATTAAAGCTGGGTGCCAGCTGCAGCTCTGCAGGAATTCTCCCAACACCTCTCCATCTGTTACCTGCTAAGCCATCTCACTAGCCCTCCTGAGTTAGCTTCTGTCATGTGTGTAACTTTAATTGGATCAAGGTATTTCTTTCTTTGCACCAAGGAATGTCCATTTGTTGCAGCATCATTTTAATTTTTTCCAGTTCTGGGCAGGCCTCAAATATGCTAGCCAAGAACTCCACCACTTAGCAATACCCCTAAGCCCTACTTTCACCTTTTATGGTACTTCTACAGTCTGAGCAACTTAACTACATGATAGATGTGGCGGTCTGAATGAAAATGGCCTCCATGGGCTCATATATTTGCATGCTTAGTCCTCAGTTGAAATGTTTGGAAATGATTAGGAGGTGTGGCCTTGTTGGAGGAAGTGTGTGTTACTGGGCTTTAAGGTTTCAAAAGCTCATGCCAGGTCCAGTCTCTATCTCTCCCTCTCTCTCTTCTCTCTGCCTGCTACCTATGGATCAGGATGTAAAGCTCTCAGCTACTGCTCCAGTGCCCTGCCTGTCTGCTTCCTGCCATAATAATAATGGACTAACCACCTGAAACTGTGACCAAGCCAAAGTTAAATGCTTTCTTTTATAAGAGTTGCTTTGGTCTTGGTGTTTCTTCACAGCAATGGAACAGACTAAGACAACAGATATGCTCCATTTCATATTTTCATCAATGCTATTAATCACCTATGCCAAGAGCTGAGGCCTAGAAGGTGAGGTAGAAGGGTTTCTTTGAAGACAGAACCTCTGGTGTCTGAGAAGAATTCATCTGGCCCCACTTCCCAGGGTACCTCTCAAACTTCTCAGAAGCTTAACTTTTTAAGTGTATGGGTGTTCTGCTAACATGTATAGCTGTGTACCGTGTACATGCAGTACCTGTAAATGCCAGAGGAGGGTGTTAGTTTCCCCTGAAAATGAACCACCATATGGCTGCTGTAGTAAATCAAACCTTGGTCCTCTGGAAGAGCAGCCACTAAGCCATCTCTCTAGCCCTAAACTTTCCAGAAACTCTGTGAAACTGTACCATTCAAAACCTTCAGCTATCTTTAAATTATGTAAAGTGTAATTTTGTATTTTCCAAATGGCTGCTCAGTTGTCATTACCAATCATTGAATAGCACTCCTTTTCCTCATAAATTTTAAACATCTTTTTACACTTAAATTCTCATTTCTGATTTCTAGACTTCATTCTTTTCCATTATCTAGTTGCTCATTCATGCATTGGTACCTTTTTTTTTTTTTTTTTTTTTTTTTTTTGGTTTTTTGAGACAGGGTTTCTCTGTGTAGCTTTGCGCCTTTCCTGGATCTCGCGCTGTAGCCCAGGCTGGCCTCGAACTCACAGAGATCCGCCTGCCTCTGCCTCCCGAGTGCTGGGACTAAAGGCGTGCGCCACCACCGCCCGGCTCATTGGTACCTTTTAAAAGGTATCTATTTATAATTATGTTTAGATTTATTTATTTTGATACTGTGTATTAGTGTTATTTATAATTGTTTAGATTTATTTATTTTGATACTGTGTATTAGTGTTTTGCCTGCTTGTATATATATATGCACCATGTGTGCGCAGTGCCCATGGAGGCCAGAGGAGAGTACCAGATCCCCTTATTATAGAATTACACATAATAGTTAGCTGTCATGTGGATACTGGGAAAGCAATAGCATGCCTTTAATCCCAGCACTTCAGAGGCAGAGAAGCAGATGGATTTCTGTGAGTTCAAGGCCAGCCTGGTCCACAGAGTGAGTTCCAGGACAGCCAGTGCTACATAGAGAAACCCTATCTCAAAAAAACAAAAACAGCCGGGCGGTGGTGGCGCACGCCTTTAGTCCCAGCACTCGGGAGGCAGAGCCAGGCGGATCTCTGTGAGTTCAAGGCCAGCCTGGTCTCCAAAGCGAGTTCCAGGAAAGGCGCAAAGCTACACAGAGAAACCCTGTCTCGAAAAAACCAAAAAAAAAAAAAAAAAAAAAAAAAAAAACAAATTAGTGTGTTTTCTAAGTGCAAAAGCTATGAAACCTCCTTATCTAGTTGGTTAAATCCTAGATTCTGCTGCTAGTTGTATGAACATGGGGAAGCTACTCAAGCATTATGAGCATCTGTCTCTTCAAAGAATTATCTTTAATTGTTTGTTTGTTTTTGGCGACAGGGTTTCTCTGTGTAGCCCTGGCGTCTGTCCTGGAACTCACTCTGTAGACAAGGCTGGCCTTGAACTCACAGATATCTGCTTGCCTCTGCCTCCCAAGTGCTGGGATTAAGGGCATG